GTAGTCCGAGGATGATGGTTCTCTAAGGTCTGTGTTCTGGCGGTGGGTCCGTAGGTGACTGTTAAGCCCTATTGTTGATCTACATCTTCTCCCACAGTGAGGACATTGGTTTCCAGGTGGAAGGCAGCCCCGGTCGCAGTTGGCTTGAAGCGCCTACATCTTGGCACGTTTTGCTCTTTCGCCCTCCATTTGTGCCTCTTCACATTCTACAGCACTGCTGGTCACAGCTAACCTCCAGCTGGAGCGCTCAAGGGCCAGGGCTTCCCAGTTCTCAGTGGCTATGCCAGAGTTTTTAAGGTTGGCTTTGAGCCCATCTTTCAATCTCTTTTCCTGTCCACCAACATTCCGTTTTCCGTTCTTGAGTTCGGAGTAGAGCAACTACTGTGGGCGGCAGTGGTTGGGCATCCGGACAATGTGGCCGGTCCAGTGGAGTTGATGGCAGAGCACCATCGCTTCAATGCTGGTGGTCTCTGCTTCTTCCAGCACACTGACATTTGTCCACTTGTCTTCCCAAGAGATTTGCAGGATTTTTTGGAGGCAGCACGAATGGAATCGTTGCAGGAGTTGCATGTGACGTCTGTACACTGTCCGCATCACTTACACAGTAATATGAGAGCCAGCATTATCAGCATTTTTAACCTTAGCAGAGCATCCTGTGCATTTTCTCTCTTGTTGTTTTTTATTTTACCAAAGCTCATATGTAGTAGTGTCTGTGCTGCACTCTACTCTGCTATACATACCAAATATTCATACACCTGGTTCCAGGCCTTCTAGTTTTCTTTCCAACTTTTTTTCTTATTAAAGTTTTCACAACAAAACTATAATCATACAAACAAACAAAGACATATACAGTGAAGTTTTCCTTCTAACCTTTCATTTGCAAAGGAGGTGGAGATTGTATTGTCGAAGGCTTTCATGGCTGGAATCACTAGGTTCTTGTGGGTTTTTTCGGGCTATAGGGCCATGTTCTAGAGGCATTTCTCCTGATGTTTCTGTACATGCAAAATTGCTGATACAAGTCCAGGTTGGATGGAGCAGTATAGTTTCATTTGTCCATTTTGTTTGGATTTAACGGAGGTGTTAGTTGTTGTTTCTTTTGGAGCATGCAAGGCATCAATTAATGTCCATGTCAACTGTAAAATAAGATGCATGAAGCCAATTGGTTTCGCAATGCCCAGGGAGCAGGCTGAGCCTGGGACTTTTGGATACTGTTGCATTTTTGTTCAGACTTGAGCTATGCAGGTGTTCAGAGAGAGATAGTCTAAAGCAATGGTTCTCAACCTGTGAGTCCCCAGGTATTTTGGCCTACAACTCCCAGAAATCCCAGCCAGTTAACCAGCTGGTGGGATTTCTGGGAGTCGAAGGCCAAAACATCTGGGTACCCACAGGTTGAGAACCACTGGTTTAAAGAGAGAAGCAGAGAGAGACAGTTTGAAGTTTGTATCAGCTGTTTTGCATGTACAGAATATAGAACTGAGCACAACACACTCTCATTTCCCATTCTGAAAGACAGCTTGACATCAATGTCACAAAAGTACAACATCTGTACAATTGCTAAAAAAACTTGAACTATTTAAGTAAGCAACAGCTTAATACATTTCTATTTGCTGGACTTTAAAAAGGCCCATTTTTAAAGTGGTGTTGTCAGCACTATTGTAGAGGAAGGAATTGACAAAGCCACCTCTAAGTATTCCTTCCTTAAGAAAGCCATTTGAAATTAACGGGGTCACCATAGGTTGACCTGAAGGCACATACACATAGAGAAGTTTCACCTAAACACCATAAAAGCACCAGATCCCATCTGATCTTGGGAGCTAAGCAGGGTCCCAGCCCTGGGAAATACTTGGAAGGGAGGCTGCTAATGAAGACCAGGTGCTGTAGGAACTGGCAAAACCACTTCTGAGATTTCTTCGCCTGAGAGGACCCTGTGAGATTTATGGAACTGCCATAAGTTGATGAATAACTTGACGGGGAATACATACACACAGGGTGTCCTTGTTTATTGTACCAATGGACAATGGCTGTTTCTGCAATTGTGTTGAATCATTGAGGGCGCTGACAAATACTGGCACTGAATGTGCAACTGAGTGTGAAGTAGTTACGCTTGTGGAGCTCTGCTTGCGTCACCATGAAGTGAATGCATCTATTGTACAGCAGCCATAAAAGTCCAACAGCATCTGTACAGGAACATACATTTACTTACTTAGGCGATCCCTCGTAGTCTGAGGATGATGGTCCTTCAAAAGTGGTATCCTGGGAGGTGGGTCCGTAGGTGACTGTGGAGCCATCTTCTTGATCTGCATCTTCTCCCACAGTGAGGGCATCGGTTTCCAGGTGGAAAGCGGTCCCGGTCAGGGTTGGCTTGACACGCCTTCCTCTTGGCACGTTTCTCTCTTTCGCCATCCATTCATGCCTCTTCATATTCTGCAGCACTGCTGGTCACAGCTGACCACCAACTGGAGCGCTCAAGGGCCAGGGCTTCCCAGTTCTCAGTGTCTATGCCAGAGTTTTTAAGGTTGGCTTTGAGCCCATCTTTAAATCTCTTTTCCTGTCCTCCAACATTCCATTTTCCGTTATTGAGTTCAGAGTAGAGCAACTGCTTTGGGAGACGATGGTTAAGCATCCGGACAACGTGGCCAGTCCAGCGGAGTTGATGGTGGAGGACCATCGCTTCAGTTCTGGTGGTCTTTGCTTCTTTCAGTACGCTGACATTTGCCCGCTTGTCTTCCCAAGAGATTTGCAGGATTTTTCGGAGGCAGCACTGATGGAATCATTCCAGGAGTTGCATGTAACGTCTGTAGACAGTCCACATTTCGCAGGCGTATAGCAGGGTTGGGAGGACCTTGCTATCCCTACGGATGTCTCGGTCCTCAAACACTCTCTGCTTCATTCGGAAAAAAGCTGCACTCGCAGAGTTCAGGCGGTGTTGAATTTCAGTGTCAATGTTGACTTTTGTGGATAGGTGGCTGCCAAGGGAGCGGAAATGGTCAACATTTTCTAATGTTACACCATTAAGCTGTATTTCTGGCATTGGAGAGGGATTGGCTGGTGACTGCTGGAAAAGCACTTTGGCTTTCTCAAAGTTTAATGACAGGCCAATCTTCTCGTATGCTTCTGCAAAGGTGTTTAGAGTGGCTTGTAGGTCGTCTTCTGAATGCGCACAGATGACATTGTCATCGGCATACTGGAGTTCTATAACAGATGTTGTTGTAACCTTGGTTTCGGCTTTCAGTCTCCTGAGGTTGCATACATTTACACAGACGCACACATGATAGCAACATGATTTCAGGCATTTTACTGTAAGGTTTGATCATTGACTTTGAAGATGTAAACTTCTTGGTTGATCCTGGAAAATGGATTAGCTTTTAATGGACATATAGTCTGAGAGTGCATAGGATTTAGGGAAAAGGAGAGGATGGAAACTCAAGGTATTCCTGCTTCCCTGGTCTTAGTGTTGACTTCCTCTTACTATTTCTTTGAACGCAGGACAAAGCGCCTCTCTCTTTAGCTTGATATTTCATTCTCAGGTTTGATTGGCTTCCTCCTTTGTCTGATGTTTGTGTTTTGGTGGTGGGTTAGTTGCTGGGAGCCTGTTTCCACAACAGAGCTGCAAGGCAACTGACTCCAGAATGGAAACTCTTTTGTACAAAGCCAGAAGATAAGTAGTAAGAGAACCAGTTAAGCTTTACATGAGTCTCTGCACATCTCTGCCCCCCCCCCCCCCCAAGCCAGCAGTTGAGTGATGTATCCATTGATCAAGCATGGCATATCCTGAAGGGTGTAAACATTTTCACAGGCATTTCCTACACGAGAAAACATTGCCTCTGAGTCCTTTGGGAATATGATCTAGAGTTGGCCTTGAAGTCAGAGGAAAGTTACTTGTCTGACTTAAAGCTGCCCTATAAGACAGATCGTTGAAAAAGTGAGGATATTATTTGAAATTAATTGTAGGTTTCCGTATATTAAGAATACACCAAATGCTTTTATAAGCAACAAATAATAATAATAATACTTTATTTATACCCCACTCCATCTCCTCCCAGCGGGACTCGAGGCGGCTTACGTGAGGGGAAAAAAACATAACAATATAACACCAAAGCATAACAGAATTAGAAAATAAAAAACATAAAATACAAAATCAATATAACAAGCGACACAGCAGTATAAAATCGGACATTAGATACACAAGATTACATGGGGCAGGGCCAAATTTTAAGGATAAAAATTTTAAAACACTGGGAGATTGGGCAATGGGGAGGGAGATCCGGGTTGAGGAAGGAATTAATTGCACGAACCATAAAATAAAGTGCTTCTGAGGTCATTCTGAGGTCAGGGATTATCTTACATACAATCATTGAAAGCACATTGGAATAACCAGGTTTTTAGGTTCCTCCTGAAGATTGCTAGCGTGGGGGCTTGCCTAATATCTCTGGGGAGTGAATTACAGAGCTGGGGGGCCACCACAGAGAAGGCCCTCTCTCTCGTCCCCACAAGTTGCACTTGCGATGCAGGCGGGAGCGAGAGAAGAGCCTCTCCGGAAGATCAAAGAGGTCGTGTGGGTTTGTAAACGGAAATGCAGTCGCGCAGGTAGGCGGGTCCCAAACCATTCAGGGCTTTTAGGTCAAAACCTGCACCTTGAATTGGGCCCGGAAGATAAATGGCAGGAAGCATGCAAGTATGCAAAGAATGAGGAAGTGACAGCTCCCCTGGTGGCCAGAAACTGGAAAGTTAATAGCCTCTGAGTGTCTGTCTATATATGTTGTATGTCTATGGCACTGAATGTTTGCCATGTATATGTACATTGTAATCTGCCCTGAGTCCCCTGCGGGGTGAGAAGGGCGGAATATAAATACTGTAAATAAATGTAAATAATAAGTGTGTGGTCATAAAGAAGATTTGCTTGAAGTCTCTCTGTTCCACACCTGGATCTAGGAGATCGGAGGCATAATTGTTTCCCACTGTTTATTCTTAAACAAGGCTTTTTTTCCTGCTTCTTTCAGGGTTTGGACGAGGCAGAGGAAGAGGAGCAGGGAGGTTTTCAGCCCAAGGCATGGGGTAGGTTTTTCCTGGTATACTGGGTGAAACATTAAGGTCTATACTGAAAAAGGACGTGTCATTGCTTGGAGAAAGTTATGCATATCCCTGTAAAAGAGAATCTGTTAAACATCAGGCTGTTTGCAATGGACTTATTGGCTCTTTCTTCCCAATGGCAGGAAACCTGATAAATGCCAGCGGAAGCCAAAAACACTAAGCCCAAGTCAAATGAGTTTTCCTCCCTTCCAGGCTGCCAGGCAAAACCCGCTTGAGTAATTCAAGAGGACTTGCAGAGACAGAGATATTGATTACCTCGAGCAGCTGGTTTGTTGCCTAAGCTCAAGATAAGAATTAGTTCTGTCAAACTGTTCCAAGAATTGTCTGTGCCCATAACTGCAATGGGTTGTTGTCCCCTTCACAACCATGCACAGTTAAGTGTTGAAAACAGGCATCTAAAACACCAGCAGAATTATGTGGATTGTCTCTTGTTTGCGTTAGAAGTACCACTCCCAGTCCCTCCAGGAAAATGCCTGGAAGCCGAGGGCAGGAGTGGCTACGTCCAGATTCCGCACCTGAGGAACAACTTCCAAAAATCTGTTATTGTTTTTACTGTGTATTGTGGGCTCGGCCTCATGTAAGCCGCACCGAGTCCCTTGGGGAGATGGTAGCGAGGTACAAATAAAGTTTATTATTATTATTGTTATTATAAATTTTGTTGCCATTATAATTTAAAGGTATTCTTGAAATTACTCTGTAAAAACCAGAGCGCTACTGATCGGTGTGCATTGTGGAAATGTTCAAATGCAAAACCCAACTAAATTTATGGAGTTTCTGAAACACAAGTAAGCATCTAATTGTAATTTGTATTGTCGAAGGCTTTCATGGCCAGAATCACTGGATTGTTGTAGGTTTTTTCGGGCTATATAGCCATGTTCTTCTTTATTTATTTATTTACTGTGCTTATATACCGCTGTTCTCAGCCCGAGGGCGACTCACAGCGGTGTACAACATAGAAAGGACAGGGTACAATTTGCAAGATACAATCTAAAATCAATCTAGCAATAACCAAAAACATCGTCATCAGAAACATCAACAAAATCACTAATACAAAAAGCCATTCGCGTCGTCTCAACATTAAACCACAATCCAGTATCATTTTCTGTTGTTCCATTCCTGTCGTCATTACCAATTATTGCACTTTTTGTTCGAACGCCTTCTTGAACAGCCAAGTCTTTAGTTTCCTGCGGAATATCATCAGGGAAGGAGCCAGTCTGATGTCCACGGGAAGGGTGTTCCACAGCCGAGGAGCCACCACTGAGAAGGCCCTGTCTCTCGTCCCTGCCAGGCGTGCCTGTGAGGCAGGCAGGATCGAGAGCAGGGCCTCCCCGGACGATCTCAAAGTCCTCGTAGGCCGAGATGCGGTCAGATAGGTATCTTGGGCCGGAACCGTTTAGGGCTTTATAGGCCAATGCCAGCACCTTGAATTGAGCCCGGTAGCAAATCGGCAGCCAATGGAGCTGGTACAACAAGGACGTTGTATGCTCCCTGCGTCCTGCTCCTGTTAGTAACATGGCTGCCGCACACTGGACCAGCTGAAGCTTCCGGGCCGTCTTCAAGGGCAACCCCACGTAGAGAGCGTTGCAGTAGTCTAAGCGGGATGTAACCAAAGCGTGGACTACTGTGGCCAAGTCAGACTTCCTGAGGTATGGGCGCAGCTGGCGCACGAGCCAAAGCTGTGCAAATGCTCCCCATGTCACCGCCGAGACCTGGGGCTCCAGGCTCTAGAGGCATTCTCTCCTGATGTTTCGCCTGCATCTATGGCAAGCATCCTCAGAGGTAGTGAGGGCCTCACTACCTCTGAGGATGCTTGCCATAGATGCAGGCGAAACGTCAGGAGAGAATGCCTTTAGAACATGGCCATAGAATCTGAAAAAACCTACAACAACCCAGTAATTGTAATTTTCTTCTAGTAGATTAGGACAGGGATATTTCCCGTACGGTCGCACCATATGCATAAGAATTTTATGAAAGGTTTGGAAACTTTGAAGCAGATTTTTTATGTGGTATAGAAGACAGCAGAAGGATAAAAAGATGTTGCTCTGACACACTTCTGCTAGTGCAGAAAGTCTTTTAAAAGCCCCTGAAGAGAACTGCCACCCAAAAATAAATAATGAGTCAAATACTGAGAAAAATTATATGAATGCTAAATACCAAAAAATTATGTGAATACCATAGAAATAACGAGATCTCCTCTGTTATAACTGGAGGTCTTTCAAAGCCACCATAGTGCATCCTGGGACCTTTCTTTTGCCTTGGGAACTAAAATTCGTAACTAATCATGGCTGTTATTCTGACTACCAATGTAATGAAGTGGACCTTAGTCCATGAAAATTCATGCCATAACAAGAACATGAGTCTCCAAGCTGCAGTAAAAGAGCCTCTCCTTTTTTGTGTGTGGCTGTAGCAGAACTGCATTTTGGTATCCTTGGCCCCACTCCTGTGTGAGCATTAACCGAGCTGCCTTTTTACCCTGAAAATTATGCAGCAGATGCGAGGTGAGGAGATCAAGAGTGAAAAGGACCACCTCAGCTCATTTACCCCAAGTCCACTTGGTTGGCAGTTTCTGAAATTACATCCCCTGCCTGCGTGAGCCGAGGCTCCTCCTTGCTCCCATCTGGCAGTGTCACATTTATTACACATCCACTTGTTCTCTTGTAGCACCCCTTTCGGTGCCGTTAACGTTTGCCAACCTTGATGCACTCTGCCATTGATCTCCTGAACCGGAGTTTGCCTTATATGTGTTCTATGATCCGCTCTGATTCCTCTTTGAGTGGAATATAAATACTGTAAATAAATAAATAAATAAATAAATAAATAAATAAATAAGAGTTGGAAGAGAACCCCCAGGGTCATCTAGTCCAACCCCAATGTTCCATGAAGGAAAAGCGCATTGGGGTTGTACATATGGCTCCGAGAAATGGCCGTCCAGCTTCTGTTTAGAAGCCTCCAAAGAAGGAGTCTCTGTTGTTGAATAGCTCTCCTTACCATCAGGAAGTTCTTCCTAATGCTCAGGTGGAATCTCCTTTCCTGTAATTTGAACCCATGGCTCCTTTGAGTCCTAGTCTCCAGGGCAGCTGAAAACCAGCCTGCTCCCTCTTCCTTAGGACATCCTTTCAGACATTTAAACATGGCTCTCATGTCTCCTCTCAACCTTCTCTTCTACAGGAGAAACAGACCCAGCTCTTTAAGATGCTCCTCATCGAAGTTGTAAATACTCAGAACTGGCATTATATGATGGGATCATATAGTGTGGACACTGTAGTTTGCATGCACTAAATCCCAAATTCGAGCCCCAGAACCTTCCAGGAAAAAAGAATGTGGATGAAGGCTGTTCAGCAGTGGAACTCTCTCTCCAGGTTCTCCAGAGTCTGGAGAACAAGCCCTATGAGGAGCGGATTAAAGAGCTGGGCATGTTTAGCCTGCAGAAGAGAAGGATGAGAGGACACATGATAGCCATGTATTAATATGTGAGCAGAAGTCATAGGGAGGAGGGAGCAAGCTTATTTACTGCTGCCTTGGAGACTAGGACACAGAACAATGGCTTCAAACTACAGGAAAGGAGATTCCATCTGAACATTAGGAAGAACTTCCTGACTGTGAGAGAGAGCTGTTCAGCAGTGGAACTCTCTGCCCTGGAGTGTGGTGGAGGCTCCTTCTTTGGAGGCTTTTAAGCAGAGGCTGGATGGCCATCTGTCAGGGGTGCTTTGAGTGTGATTTTTCTGTTTCTTGGGGGGTTGGACTGGATGGCCCATGAGGTCTCTTCCACCCCAATGATTCTATGATTCTAAGGCTTGAGGAGACATTGCTTTGCTGGATTCCATTCAGTCTTCTCCAAGTTTCTGACTCTCTCAACTTTCTTGACCTGTAGGACATTTAACCCTGCAGATTATACAGAATCTTCTGCCACAGATGGTTTTGGAGCCAAACACGAGTCTTGGGAGTCTGGGCAGACGGATGGCCATGATGGAACAGGTGAGGCAGCGGCCAGAAGGAATTGGGACCCAGGACACACAAAAATAGGTCACTCCGTATAAATCCCAGGGATTTTGCAGGATTCTATTATACATGTGCAAGACCAATAGTCTAAAAATCGAGGGTAGTATATATTAACATAAAATCCAGTTAATTAAGTTTATTTTAGACTTATTGTTGTGTTCTAAAGTCAATAGCAGGTCAACGAGGGAATCTTTTCCAGACACAAGATGCTTTTGCACCTGCCCTCTCTCTCTCTCTCTGCATTCTGGCACGTTTGTTCCCATAGAAAGGACATTCTGTCCAAGTAGAAATTTAGGGACACTGCTTGATACAATGTGCTTTTGTGATGGTGTTTATTTATCATTTTAATTTAAATTGTAGTCTTTATTGCAGTGTAGCATAGACATTTTCCAAAGAAGTAATTGATGCATCATCTCTTCTCTCCATACATAGATTTTTTCAATTTCTGTTTTCCCCCTCTTGCTACAGGAGCCTGGAAGAACTCAATAGAAGAATGGACAGCTGAAGACTGGAATGAAGATGTAAGTATCTGTTTATTGGTTGGCTCTGTTAAAGTTATGTGATCAGCTGGTGCTCTTTCCTCCCAAGGGAACTCTCTGCCCCGGAGTGTGGTGGAGGCTCCTTCTTTGGAAGCTTTTAAACAGAGGCTGGATGGCCATCTGTCAGGGGTGATTTGAATGCAATATTCCTGCTTCTTGGCAGAATGGGGTTGGACTGGATGGCCCATGAGGTCTCTTCCAACTCTTTGATTCTATGATTCTATGAGTATCTTAGCAGACTTCGGATGCAGTCTTGAAAATTGTGGAAAAGACAGTTTGGAAAAGCGATGGTTGAAGAGTGGCGCCCCAGTGGCGCAGCGGGTTAAACCACTGACCTGCTGAACTTGCTGACCGAAAGGTTTGCGGTTCGAATCAGGGAGCGGGGTGAGCTTCTGCCAACCTAGCAGTTTGAAAACATGCAAATGTGAGTACATCAATAGGTACCGCTCCAGCAGGAAAGTAACGGTGTTCCATGCAGTCATGCTGGCCACATGACCTTGGAGGTGTCTATGGACAACACTGGCTCCTTGCCTTAGAAATGGAGATGAACACCAACCCTAAGAGTCGGACACGACTGGACTTAATATCAAGGAGAAACCTTTACCTTTACCTTGAAAATTGTGGAAAAGATTCTTTGGATTCTTTGAAGAGTGGCGCCCTGGTGGTGAAGCGGGTTAAACCACTGAGCTGCTGAACTTGCTGACCGAAAGGTCAGTGGTTCGAATCTGGGGAGCAAGGTGAGCTTCCGGAGTTAGGCCCAGCTTCTGCCAACCTAGCAGTTTGAAAACATGCAAATATGAGTAGATCAATATATACTGCTTCTGCAGGAAGGTAACGGCGTTCCATGCCGTCATGCTGGCCACATGACCTTGGAGTTGTCTATGGGCAATGCTGGCTCTTCAGCTTAGAAATGGAGATGAGCACACACACACACCCCAGAGTCGGATATGACTAGACTTCATGTCAAGAGGAAACCTTTACCTTGAAAATTTTGGAAAAGATTCTTCGTTGAAGAGTGGCACCCTGGTGGTACAGCGGGTTAAACCACTGAGCTGCTGAACTTGCTGACCGAAAGGTTTGAATCTGGGGAACAAGGTGAGCTCCTGGAGTTAGACCCAGCTTCTGCCAACCTAGCAGTTCGAAAACATGCAAATATGAGTAGATCAATAGGTACTGCTTCTGTGGGAAGGTAACGGTGTTGGCAGTCATGCCAGCCACATGACCTTGGAGGTGTCTGTGGACAATGCTTGCTCTTCAGCTTAGAAATGGAGATGAGCGCACACACACACCCCAGAGTCAGATATGACTAGACTTCATGTCAAGAGGAAACCTTTACCTTTACCTTGAAAATTGTGGAAAAGATTCTTTGGAAAAGAGATGGTTGAAGAATATGCAGCCGTTATGGGTTTCTTTGTAAGTTAAGGCACTGTTACACTCATTCAGTGATATGAATTCTATTGAGACCTTGGTAGGATGAGGGGTGTGCATCTCCTGGTAAATTGACATTCCTCCCATGACACATACACTACGAAAAAGATAGCTGGAAGTGAAATAGTTTTTCTACCCAAACTCTCTGCGAGAAAGCTTTGCAAGCAGGAGGATGGAACAGATAGTTCTCCACTATCTGCTCTCTCAGCCATCTGTTCTTCAGGGGTAGCTTTGAATGGAGAAAATATTTTTTGCTAGAATACCCAGTATTTTTTGATAAATGATACTTTCAGAGCAACCACCCAGGCCGGAGAGTGCGTCTGTGCAGGCAGTGTTCCCCAAGAGAGCAACTCCTGTGAATCCACATTTTGTCAGCAGCTGTTTGTTTGAGGGAGGTTGCCAATGTACCAGTGAGAGATTTTGTTGTTGTTGTTTTGCTGTTGTGCCATGACGGGGCTCTCCTAGACAGCTACTCAGAAGCGGATTAAATTCCTTCCCAGAAATCTCATTGGGTGTCTCTGTAACGAAAAGCATTTCAGCTGCTGGGCACGTCATGTGGCCTGGCAAATGCCACAGTTCCCAGCAGGAGGCCTTGGAGGCAGTGCCTCCCCCCCCCCCCCCCCCCCCCCCCCCTTTCCCTGTCATCTCTGTAGCAGTGCTTCTGGCTGCAAGGAAAATATACTCTGTAGGCTGCTGTGTTAAGAGATCTGTTTTGCCAGGGAAGGGAAAGTGTTGATAATTTACTGGGCATTGTCTCACAATCTCTGAGGATGCCTGCCATGGATGCAGGCGAAACGTTAGGAGAGAATGCTTCTGGAACATGGCCATAGAGCCTAAAAACCTTACAACAACCCATTTATTTACTTATTTATTTACCTTAGAATCATAGAATCAAAGAGTTGGAAGAGACCTCATGGGCCATCCAGTCCAACCCCATTCTGCCAAGAAGCAGGAATATTGCATTCAAATCACCCCTGACAGATGGCCATCCAGCCGTTTAAAAGCTTCCAAAGAAGGAGCCTCCACCACACTCCGGGGCAGAGAGTTCCACTGCTGAACGGCTCTCACAGTCAGGAAGTTCTTCCTCATGTTCATATGGAATCTCCTCTCTTGTAGTTTGAAGCCATTGTTCCATTGCGTCCTAGTCTCCAAGGAAGCAGAAAACAAGCTTGCTCCCTCCTCCCTGTGGCTTCCTCTCACATATTTATACATGGCTATCATATCCCCTCTCAGCCTTCTCTTCTTCAGGCTAAACATGCCCAGCTCCTTAAGCCGCTCCTCATAGGCTTGTTCTCCAGACCTTTTATCATTTTAGTCGCCCTCCTCTGGACACATTCCAGCTTGTCAATATCTCTCTTGAATTGTGGTGCCCAGAATTGGACACAATATTCCAGGTGTGGTCTAACCAAAGCAGAATAGAGGGGTAGCATTACTTCCCTGGATCTAGACACTATGCTCCTATTGATGCAGGCCAAAATCCCATTGGCTTTTTTTGCCGCCACATCACATTATTGGCTCATGTTTAACTTGTTGTCCACGAGGACTCCAAGATCTTTTTCACACGTACTGCTCTCGAGCCAGGCATTGTCCCCCATTCTGTATCTTTGCATTTCGTTTGTCCTGCCAAAGTGGAGTATCTTGCATTTGTCACTGTTGAACTATTGAACTGTCACTGTTGAACCTTATTTGTATGCTGCCACTCTCAGCGCAGAGGCGACTTGGAGCAGTTCACAGATTGGGAACAATTCCATGCCTCAACAGTCATAATAAACAAAACAATCATAAAATTATGTTAAAAACAATAGCATGATATAAAAATATAAAAAGCCATACAAAGCCTTAAAACAGGGGTCCTCAAACTAAGGCCTGGGGGCCGGATACGGCCCTCCAAAGTCATTTACCTGCCTCTCACTCAGGGTCACCTTAAGTCTGAAACGACCTGAAAGCACACAACAACAACGACAACAACAACGGGTTGTTGTAGGTTTTTCGGGCTATATGGCCATGTTCTAGAGGCATTCTCTCCTGACATTGTGCCTGCATCTATGGCAAGCATCCTCAGAGGTAGTGAGTTTATTTATTTATTTATTTCCTATATTTATACCCCATCCTTCTCCCCGCAAAGGGGACTCAGGGCAGCCTAACAAAAGCATCATTATAATGGATTATATGATGCTAGCATCATAAAAACAACCACAGTACAATCAAAATATTAAAAATTAAAACAACAATTAAAACAATTAATGAAGACACATCCATTAAAATTGAAATCCAAAAACCAGTCCGGGTTAATTCATTGTCATAAGTTGTGTGATCTTCTTCCACTTGCTGCTCACTGATCCAACGCTTGGTCTTGATTTTCCTTCTAAAAGACAAGAGGGAGGTGGCCAATCTGATATCTCTAGGGAGGGAGTTCCATAGGCGGGGGGCCACTGCTGAAAAGGCCCTATCTCTCATCCCCATCAGCTGTGTTTACGATAGTGGTGGGATCGAGAGCAGGGCCTCTCCTGAAGATCTTAAACTTTGTGATGGTTCGTGGCAGGAGATACATTCGGACAGGTAATCTGGGCCAGAACCGTTTAGGGCTTTAAAGGTTAAAACCAGCACTTTGAATTGTGCTCGGAAGCTGATCGGTAGCCAGTTGAGTTGGCATAACAAAGGAGTTGTTTTTTCCCTGTACATCGCTCTGGTGAGCAACCTGGCTGCCGACCATTGGACTAGTTGAAGCTTCCAGGCAGCCTTCAAAGGCAGCCCCACATAGAGTGCGTTGCAGTAGTCTATTCGGGATGTAACAAGAGCATGGACCACTGTGGCCAAGTCAGACTTCTCAAGGAATGGGCACAGCTGGCGCACAAGTTTTAATTGTTTAGCAAACCTGTTTCTCTTTTTGGCATCAAAAAGGTGTTTAGGATTTCCTGCTTAGACTGGGCCCTATGGCTCTGGGTTTTTCATTCAGGAAATGGAGTGAAGGATGCACTCCTATATTTGGCCCAACTAACAGTGTCCTTGGTATCATTTTAACTGAGAGGTTAATCTATTGTGATTTTCTTTGATTGCTATATTTATACTTCCCTTTCCCTCTCACTGCCACTTACATTTTTCTTCCACACACTGCTCAAGGCCAGGCCTGCACATCCTGTGTGAGTTTTATGTGATTTTATCATCAAGCCTGAGGACCCCTTGCTCTATATCAGGGGTCCTCAAACTTTTTAAACAGAGGGCCAGGTCACAGTCCCTCAAATTGTTAGAGGGCCGGATTATAATTTGAAAAAATGTGACTGAATTCCTATGAACACTGCACATATCTTATTTGCAGTGCAAAAAACCACTTCAAAACAATACAATAATGCAGAACAATTTTATCAAATATAAACTTATTAGTATTTCAATGGGAAATGTGGACCTGCTTTTGGCTGATGAGAGAGGATTGTTGTTGTTGTGTGCTTTTCAAGTCGTTTCAGATTTAGGTTGACCCTGAGTGAGGGCCGGGTAAACGACCTTGGAGGACCGTATCCGGCCCCTGGGCCGTAGTTTGAGGACCCCTGCTCTATATTCTGGTTTGTATCATGAAAGGATTTCAGCCTGGTTGACGACTAGATAATTGGCTTCAGTTATTAGACCATTTGGTCTTGCTCAGCAGGACAAGGCTTGTGTTTTCATGCATACTTCTCTCCTGCCGAGTGAAAAGTGTGAAGTGATTAATATAGCATTTCTCTTTTCCTCTCTGGGCCCCCACCCAGCTTTCAGAAACAAAGGTTTTCACGGCTTCATCTGTTCCAGCGGAGAACCATGTTGCTCCTGGCCAAAGGTATGGCTCCTTTTTTTCCCGTTCCCTCACCCTTGTCCATCCTTTGTCTTCTCCTCCATTGAAAATAATGCGATTATAGTACCATTTGAGAGAAGACCACAGCAATTCTGAACAAGGCCTTTCCTGTGGAATATAGTAAGCTGGACTTTGCAAATGTTTCTGTTTGCAAACTGATTGTATCAAAACTTTCACCTTGCCACATGGCTACCTATGCGGAAAACCAGCAACCCATATTGAGGCAATGGACTTGTTGGTTTGGTGAGAAGGAATGTGCAACGTACCCTGTATGATGCGTGTATGCTCTCTCCCACTGTCTGTATATATACAGTGCAAGTATGTACCTCCTGTCCATCTTTTTAGCAGCTTTGACATGCATCAAGGTCCTTAGCCACTAGGTTCTTGTGGGTTTTTTCGGGCTATAGAGCCATGTTCTAGAGGCATTTCTCCTGACGTTTCGCCTGCATCTATGGCAAGCATCCTCAGAGGTTGAGAAGGTCTGTTGTAAGTAGGAAAAAGTCCTTAGCCACTCTTTGTGTTCCAGGAGAGCTCCATCTCTTTTCCTCCTGCTTTTAGCATACCAGGATAGCTGTCCTTATTGAGGGATGAATGGTAGTGGGGTGAGTTGTCCTTGCACTGACCCAACACCGTAGGAACTAAAAGGCTACCCACAGCGGTTATAAGCCATTGCTGTAAGAGTTTATGTCAGGGCTGTGAGCTCAACTGGATTTGTTAGCCTCTTTCTGCCTTTTCAGATCAGTTCAAGTGTATTTTGCTTGGGGGAAACTTATTATTTGCTCTAGAATCTCAAGAGAACTCTTGCTTTTCCTGTTGGTGAAATAAGTTGGTTGTGCTTTAGAGCAAGTGGGCATCCCTGGCTTCTTAATCCCTTGATCTGTTGGTTGCATTAACTCTGACAAGTAAAGCTGTTGTACCTGTGACATGACTATGCTTCTTCCTATCTTCTTTGGGCTCCAAACCCGTTAACTCTTACTGTGGAATTTGCAGACCAGTTTGAGACTGGTTGAGTTTGTGAAAGTGACTTACAGCTCACTATGGCTTTCACGAAGGGTTCACATTTTATGGCTCTATGCTGCTCCATTTGGGTGCCCTGATTCTCCTTCTGAATTGTTCTGGATGTCCTTGTTTCCTGCTAGCAGGGAACAAGAACTAGCAGTCAGTGCAAAGGTTCTTAGGAAAGGCACTAAAGGAAGGCATTGTTTCTACTGATTGCTCTTTTCTTGACTGGTTATTTATTTATTTATTTATCGTGTCAGGGGCAGACCAAACAGTTGCATTGCATTTTTAACAAACAAAGAAACAAACAAAACACAAAGTTTGCAAGCTTGGTAGTTGATTAAATGTCCTTTGACCAGTAGCTGGCCACTTGGAGTGCCTCTGGTGTTGCCGCAAGGAAGTCCTCCATTGTGCATGTGGCAGGTTGCATTGCAGTAGGTGGTCTGTAGTTTGCTCTTCTCCACACTCGCATGTCGTGGATTCCACTTTGTAGCCCCATTTTTTAAGGTTGGCTCTGCATCTCATGGTGCCAGAGCGCAGTCTGTTCAGCGCCTTCCAAGTTGTCCAGTTTTCTGTGTGCCCAGGAGGGAGTCTCTCATTTGGTATCAGACATTGATTGAGGTGCTGGGTTTGAGCCTGCCACTTTTGGACTCTCGCTTGCTGAGGTGTTCCAGCAAGTGTGTCTGTAGATCTTAGACAACTATTTCTTGATTTAAGTTGTTGACGTGCTGGCTGATACCCAAATAAGGGATGAGCTGGAGATGTCTCTGCCTTGGTCCTTTCACTATTGGCTTCTACTTCCTGGCGGATGTCAGGTGGTGTCTCTGTAGATCTGGTGAAGGAATAGAAAAGTGCTTTCTATTCTCTTTGTCAAAGAAAGGAACATCAGTGTGTTCTGTGCATTTTTGTGTGCGTTCATGTAGGCACTCATGCAGCCACGACTGAGCATCACAATCTACACTTGAGCTAAGCAAAAGGTTGAGCTATACTTTCTCAAAACATCCAAATTAGAATTGACTCCCATCAGGGCCAGGCTTTAGCACAACTGGTTAATCACCAGCAGCAATATATCTTACCAATTGAAAGTTTGGCTATTTGAAGCCTGGGTCGGGATGAGTACCCGACCTTCAGCCCAGCTTACTGTCCACCTAAGGCAGTTCGAAAACAGCTGTGAGCTGTGAGTAGAGGAATTAGGTAAGTGGGGAGGTATTTTACGGCACCATAAAAAATACCAGAAAATGCTGGCAATCAAAGAAAGGAGAAAGTTTGTAATCTCTTTGTCATAGAGGATGGAGCAACAGCACCCCCTGTGGCTGTAATTGAGCACAACCTCCAGGACGCCAAAGTTGGGAAAAATGCTGACATACTACCTCTATCTGTGATCTGTCCTGTCTGTTTAATGGCATCGAATGTTTGCCGTGTATGTGTTCTGTGATCCGCCTGGAGTCCCCTTCGGGGTGAGAAGGGTGCAATATAAATTCTGTAAATAAATAAAATAATAAATCGTATATTTTAGACAAGGCAGAAAGCAGGTTGGAGGGTCATTGTGCTTCTGAGGCAGAAGTCCTACTCGTCTTGCAGCCTCATGTAGGAATTATTCTGAATCCTCCCCAACTTGAGATTGCTTGTCCTCTTCCTTCTTTGTTTTGGTATAGTCTCTTCTTAACCCACTCTTTTGTGTGTGCAGTATTGATCTGGTGACGCTGCTTCAGAAGCCTGGAACATCTAGCCAAGAAACGGAGGGAAGCTCCTTTGAGACACCCCAGCAGCAAGGCTTTGGCCAGGCTTTGGTCTTCACAAATTCCCAACACAACTCTCAGATGGCCTTGGGAGCAAGTAACACAAGTGCTGTGAACTCCTATTCTCCACAGAGTCTGGTAACGTTGACCTTTGAGTTATTAAAAATGTTGGAACAGTGTTTGTGGTCTTCCCTTTTTCCAGAAGGGAAAAAAGATGGTTACGAAGTATTTTGGGAACACAGAAACAAAGCTGTGCTTCTGAAGGATAACCTTTGTCTTTGCGGTCTTGTTTGGCAAGTCCATCTTTGACTTACTGACTTGTTCCCTGTCAACTGCTGAAGTGACCTACTTGTATTGATTCCTGAGAAGAGAACAGATAATGTTCTTTGCATAATAATTAAAAACACAGCCTGTTTTGTTCATGAAGTGCAGTTCCTGGCCAGCAGACTGTGATGTGATATTCTTTCCAAGCACATATCTGACTGCTGCATGAGGGAGGAAACTGTTTCTGAGTCTTCTGGCCATGTAGGAATTGCTTTGCAACTTTGGACAGGTATCAGGTTCTCATAAATGAAGAGCATTTCACCATGTTTGGTGCAGATGCCTCCTTTTTCTCCCCAACTAAAAGTTACCAACATACATTTTGAATGTTGTTGAGGTTCATTTCCCATTCTTTATCAGTTGTTTGTGACTACTACTATATCATCCATTTCATTTGTTGGTTAGTTTGCAAAGTAATGCACACAAAATATTGAATTACATTGAATTAAATTCCAGAATTACCCAGGCATTGTCTTAGATGATGTTTTACCAGTCTATATAAATAAAAATGTAATGTTTGTTTGTGAGATTAACATAACTCAAAAACCACTGGACAAATTGACACGAAATTTGGTCACAATACACCTATCAGGCCAACGAGTGATCATCACTCATAAAAATACTGAAAAACACAGCAGAAGAGACTTAAAGAAACAAAAAACAAAAAATGCATTACAACGCATGCGCAAAGCCACACAAACACACATATATACTCAAATATATGCATGCATATATGCAAACGCATGCGCAAAGCGACATATATATATACACAAACACATATATACAAATATATACACACATATATGCATATATACACGCACACAAAACACACACAAAAGATGAAGGAAGGAAGGAGAGAATGAGAGAGAAAAAGAGGGAAAGGAAGGAAGGAAAGAAAGAAAGGTAGAGAAGGAGGGAAGGAAATAAAGAAGTTAAAGAAGGAAGGAAAGAGAGAGATTGAAGAAAGGAGAGAAGGAACAAAAGAGAGAAAGAGGGGAGGGAGGAAGGAAGGAAAGAGACAAGGAGGGATGGAACCAAAGAGCAAAGGAAGTGAGAAAAGAAACAGAGAAGGAAGGAAGAAGGGAAAGAAAAAGAGGGAAGGAAGGAAAGAGGGAGGGAAGGAAGGAGAGAAAGAAAGAAGGAGAGAAAGAGGGAGAGAAGGTTGGCCACAGCAACGCGTGGCGGGGACAGCTAGTTATATATATATTTATGTTATGTCACAACTTATTATCCAGAAAAAATAAATGTGATGTGCAGACCTGTGTATTTATTATTGTTTGTTTCCCTCTCTGCTTTCTGTCTAGTCTTCAGTACTCTGTTCTGGATTTGGAGAGCTTGGGGCTTCAAAACCGTCCAACTCCACAGGGTCCCAGATTTTAGAGCAGTTGAAATCTCCAGGGTTGAGCCAGTTTACCTTACAAGGCTCTCTCAACGCAAACTCCTCTGTTTCTACAACCACAACATCATCCTGGGATATAAAACCTTCAATTTCCCAGTCTTCTATCCTCAGTCAGTTTGGTAAGTGTTTTAGTCAACCCATCACTGTTTTGGAAAATGGAAATCTCCATAACCTTTTTGGAAATTTTGTGATATTTGGAAAGGCATTACCTTGTTAGAAGTCATAATAACTCTTTGAAAAATGATGCCATAACCTCTTGGTAAAAAGTATAACCTGTTACGAGTCACTACCTTTTGGGAAAATGACTTTCACCAGCATTCATTCATTCATTCGTTCATTTCTTCATTCACACACACACACACACACACACACACACACACACACACACACACAGCAGAGTTTCAGAAGTATTCTTTTTAGTTGTCCAAAACATAGACTAGAGTCTCCCTTATCCAACCTTTGCTCATCCAACGCTCTGTATTATTCAATGCAATCTGCCTCCTGGCCAGATCCTTACTTTACTTACTTACTTAGGCGATCCCTCATAGTCCGAGGATGATGGTCCTCCAAGTTCAGTGTCCTGGGGGTGGGTTCGTAGGTGACTGTGGAGCCCTATTCTTGATCTGCTTCTTCTTCCGCAGTGAGGACATCTGTTTCCAGGTGAAGGCGGTCTCGGTCAGTGTTGGCTTGACGCGCCTTCCTCTTGGCACGTTTCTCCCTTTCACCCTCCATTCATGCCTCTTCAAATTCTGCAGCACTGCTGGTCATAGCTGACCTCCAGCTGGAGTGCTCCAGGGCCAGGGCTTCCCAGTTCTCAGTGTCTATGCCAGAGTTTTTAAGGTTGGCTTTGAGCCCATTTTTAAATCTCTTTTCCTGCCCACCAACATTTCGTTTTCCGTTCTTGAGTTCGGAGTAGAGCACTGCTTTGGGAGATGGTGGTCGGGCATCCGGACAACGTGGCTGGTCTAGCGGAGTTGATGGCAGAGGAGCATCGCTTCAATGCTGGTGGTCTTTGCTTCTTCCAGCACGCTGACGTTTGTCCCCCTGTCTTCCCAAGAGATTTGCAGGATTTTCTGGAAGCAGCGCTGATGGAACTGATCCAGGAGTTGGATGTGACGTCTGTAGACAGTCCACATTTTGCAGGCGTATAGCAGGGTTGGGAGGACAATAGCTTTATAGACAAGCACCTTGGTATCCCTACGGGTATCCCAGTCCTCAAACACTCTCTGCTTCATTCGGAAAAATGCTGCACTTGCAGAGCTCAGGCAGTGTTGTATTTCGGTGTATCCCGGCCAGATCCAAAAATATTTCAATATATTGCGATGTTTTGGTGCTAAATTCGTAAATACAGTATTTATTTCTTTTTTTTCCTATATTTATACCCTGCCTTTCTCACCTGCGATTACTGTGTATTGAGCTCCTTTTTTTCTGTTGATCTGTTGTAAAACATGATGTTTTGTTACTTAAAATCATAACATAATTTGACGCTTAATAGTCTTTTCCTTCGTTCCTCCTTATTTTCCACCATTTTCGCTTATCCAGCGTTCTGCCATGTTGGATAAGCTCCTGACCACAAGGATGGATGATCTTACTATGCATTTCTCCCTCCTGATTGTCCCTAGATTTCAAATCCCAGCCTGAACCATCCCCGGTCCTGAGTCAGCTGACGCAGCGGCAGCAACAGCAGCAGCAGCAGCAGTTGGCGTCACCTGCCCCACCACCAGGACTGGAGTCTTTCGCCCCCCAAAAAGCTCGAGCGTCTTCTCCAGCAGACGGTTCCGTCTCCGTCGGCAAGATGCTGCACCTTCCCAGCCTGTCTGCAGAGAGCCAAGCAACATCAGCCCATCAAGGCCAGCAGAAACAGATCAAGCCCCTGAAACGGAGGATACCCCCAGTCTCTAAGGTAGGTGGCACCACAGAGAACAGGCCATGTGGGGTAAGGCCTGCTCTGATAGGCTGAGCAGCTGGATGTAGGTCAGGATTGCCAGTGGATACTGCCTATTTTGCCAGTTCATTTAATAAGTTGGGTTGGAATCGCTAAGCATTTACACAGAAGCAATTGTTTATTTTCAGAAGGAGACTGCAAGTTTTTGAGAGGATCAAGTCAGAGGGTGCTGTGATTTGAGCTTTGAATGGGCTTTTAAATCTGTTTTAAGGGTTTAAATAATAATAATAATAATAATAATAATAATAATCTATATAAATAAAAATGTAATGTTAGTTCGTGCTACCATCAGAACTCAAAAACCACTGGGGGAATTGACACTAAATTTGGACACAAGACACCTAACAGTCCAATTTATGTCCTCCACTAAAAAAAAAATTGATTTTGTCATTTGGGAATTGTTGTTCCTGGGATTTATAGTTTACCTACAATCAAAGAGCATTCTGAACTCCACTAATGATGGAATTGGGACAAACTTAGCACACAGGGCTCCCATGACCAACAAAAAACTGGAAGGGTTTGGTGGACATTGACCTTGAGTTTGGGAATTATAGTTCACCCACATCCAGAGAGCACTGTGGACTCAAACAATGATGGATCTGGACCAAACTTGGCACGAATACTCAATATGCCCAAATATGAACACAGATGGAGTTTAAGGGAAATAGATCTTGACATTTGGGAGTTGTTGTTGCTTCCTCATTACTTTATTTTCCAGATCACCAGACTGGGCCACAGCAATGCCTGGAAGGAGACAACTAGTAATAATAATAAACTTTATTTATACTCTGCCACCATCTCCCCAAAGGGGACTTGGGGCGGGTAACATGAGGCCAAGCCCAAAGGTACAATACAGCAAAATAAAATACGGACTACAGACAACAAAAATTACACCAGAATAAAATATGTGCAGTAGCAAAATAAAATAAAGCAAATTAACACAATATAAAATCGAACAGAATGGGCAGGCCGAACCGACGAGGTAAAATGAAAAAATCCTGGATGAGGTAGGAATAGAAAATATGTAATTAAGGGGAGCCCTGAGGTAGGCTTTCAGTTTAGGAGTGGGGAAAGTGCATCATAGGGACAACAGTATATATAGATGGAGCATGGCAAACTTCAGCCCTCTGGGTGTTTTTGGACTTCATCTCCCACAATTCCTAACATCCTGCTGGAAGTCGAATATCCAAGGAATCTTGCATTCTTCCTTAAAATGGCCTTCCTTTGAGACCTTTCCACTTTATGCCTCAAAAGAGTTTTTATAGGAGAGCTTTTTCTGTGGTGATCTCCTGACTCTGAAATTCTTTGGCTCTCTGTTAACATTGAATGCCAAACGGAGCCCGCTTCTTTAATGTCGTTCTTATGTTCACTGCTGTTTTATAATGTTTCCTTTTAGGAATGTGTTTGTGAGTGTGCCTGTGTGGAAGAGCTTCTTAGTTCAGTGGTAATATCTTTGGATCTCTGTCCTAAAGGCAGGGCACAATGGATTAGAATGAACAGAAAAGGAAACAAATGTATAGAACCTCTCCCCTGGGAGAACAGCTTCCCTGTAGGTGAAATTATTTTGTTTGGAGCAAACTTCATTATGTTACAGCATGCTGTCGGTTTCCAGATCCCTTCCTCTGCGGTGGAGATGCCTGGATCGACAGATGTGTCGGGGCTAAATGTGCAGTTTGGGGCCCTTGAGTTTGGACTGGAGGCTTCTCTCTCGGAATTTGGATCCGCTTCAAGCTACGAGAACAACAGCCAGGCACCCAACAACATCCTCTACACCAAGCCCATGACGTAGGTCCTCCGGTTTGCCTTTTTCTCAGCTTGCTTATGCGAGCAAGATACGTTGGCGATAAAAGTGTGCTTATACAGGCAGTCCTCGGGTTACGAACAAGATAGGTCCTGTAGGTTTGTTCTTAAGTTGAATTTATATGTAAGTTGGGACAGGTCCACATTTTAAAGTGTAGCTCCAGCCATAAAATTCTTTTTTTAGTTTTGGATAGCATTGGGAAGGGCTAACACCATTGTTATGCTTGTTTTGCGGTCTGTGCCCCTGTTCAGAAAATGTTGCCTTACTTTTTGACCCTGTGACAATTGGATTTTGAAAATTTTATTTATTTATTTATTTATTTTATTTACTTTACTTGTATACCGCACTCTCTCAGCCCGTAGGCGACTCAGTGCGGTTTACAGCCGGGACAATATACAAAGTGCACACATTAGCATTTAAAACAGTACTAAAGCAACTACATCGATATAGCAATACAACAGTACATCAATATAACATCTATACATCTATATAACTAATCCATCACGTCTCATCAGTAAAGTCATAATCCGAATTTCCTCGTCCATTATTCCAAGTTCCAAGATCAGTCAGTTGGTTGCACTGCTTAATTAAACGCCTGTTCAAAGAGCCAGGTTTTTACTCTTCTCCTGAACGCCAGCAGGGAGGGGGCCGATCTAATGTCTGCGGGAAGGGCGTTCCACAGCCGAGGGGCCACCACTGAGAAGGCCCTGTCTCTCGTCCCCACCAGCCGTGCTTGTGAGGCTGGCGGGATCGAGAGCAGGGCCTCCCCGGATGATCTTAATGTCCTAATTGGTTCATAGGGGGTGATGCGTTCGGACAGATAGGTCGGGCCAGAACCGTTTAGGGCTTTAAAGGCTAAAGCCAGCACTTTGAATTGTGCCCGGTAGCAAATTGGCAGCCAGTGGAGCTGGCGCAGCAGAGGAGTGGTGTGCTCCCTGAGTGCCGCTCCTGTTAACAACCTGGCTGCCGATCGTTGGACCATTTGTAGCTTCCGAGCAGTCTTCATAGGCAACCCCAAATTTTAGGTTGTCAGGAATCAAATATGTTTGATAAAGCTTCAGTGAGATACTCTTTCCCCACAATAACTCTTCCAGGACTGAATTTCCCATCCTAGGGGTAGATTTCCTCTCACTTTCTGTTGTCTCACTCCTGTTTGTAACTAGGAGTCAGATGGAAGTTGGATGTTTGTAGCTCAAGCCACTGCCTATAGTTAATTAATAAATCTGTCAGGGGTGATTTGAATGCAATATTCCTGCTTCTTGGCAGGGGGTTGGACTGGATGGCCCATGAGGTCTCTTCCAACTCTTTGATTCTATGATTCTATGAATAAAAATGCTTATCTATATGAATAAAAATGTCATGTTCGTTGGTGGGATTAACATAACTCAAAAACCACTGGATGAATCGATACCATATTTGGACACAAGACACCAACTAAAGCAATCTATGTCCATCACTGAAAAACAAAGCGAAGGGGACTTAAAAAGCAAAAAGTTAAAAAAATACATTACAACGCATGCACAAAGCCACATATATACACAAACACACACATATATACACATATACACAAATATTTACAGGAATTATACACACATGTATGCACACACAAAACACATACACAGAAAGGGGGAAGGAAGGAAGGAGAGAAGGAGGGAGAGAAAGAGGAAAAGAAGGAGGGAAGGAGAGAAGGAACGAAGAGAGAAAGAGGAGGAAGGAAGGAAGGAAAAAGACAAGGAAGGATGGAACCAAAAAGCAAAGGAAGGAGAAAAGAAGGTAGAGAAGGAAGAAAGAAGAAGGAAAATAAAAAGAGGGAAGGAAGGAGAGAAATAAGGAGAGAAAGAGGGAGGGAAGGTTGGCCACAGCAATGCGTGGCAGGTACAACTAGTCTATATAAATAAAAAGGTAATGTTCGTTTGTGGGATTAACAGAACTCAAAAACCACTGGACGAATTGACACCAAATTTGGACACAAAACACCTCTCAGGCCAACGAGTGACCATCACTCATAGAAACACTGAAAAACATAGCAGAAGGGCGTTAAAAAGCCCCCCCCCCCCAATTACATTACAACGCATGCGCAAAACCACATATATAGGCAAACACACATATATACACACATATATGCACACACACACACAAAACACATAGATAGAAAGGGGAAAGGAAGAAGGAGGGAGAGAATGAGGGAGAGAAGGAGGAGAGAGAAAGAAGGAAAGTAAAAAGGGTAGAGAAAGAAGGAGAGGAGGGAGAGAAAGAGAAAGGAGAGAAGGAAGAAAAGAAAGGATAGAGAAGGATGTAAGTAGAGAAGGAGGGAGAGAAAGAGGGAAAGAAGAGAAAGAAGGAGGGAAGAAGAGAAGGAAAGAAAGAAAGAAGGGTAGAGAAGGAAGGAAGGAGGGAGAGAAAGGAAAGGAGAGAAGGAAAGGTAGAGAAGAGAGGGAAAGAAGGAGAGAAGGAACAAAAGAGAGAAAGAGGGAAGGAAGGAAAGAGACAAGGAAGGATGGAACCAAAGAGCAAAGGAAGCGAGAAAAGAAACAGGTAGAGAAGGAAGAAAGAAGAAGGGAAAGAAAAGAGGGAAGGAAGGAGAGAGGGAGGGAAGGAAGGGTAGGAAAAAGGAGAAAAAGAGGGAGGGAAGGTTGGCCACAACCAAGCGTTGTGGGTACAGCTAGTAGTAAATAAATAAATAAATAAATAAATAAATAAATAAATAAAGAGAGTGAACAATATTAAAATCAAAAAAGCTTCCCAGAAAACAGGTGGAAATAATGGCTTAGTGCCTACATTTTTCACTCCCCCCTTCAGTCCCACTCCCAGAGATATAAACTGCTTAGACTGTTTTGACTGCACCTGACCCTGTTTACTTTTTGACACCACACATTTACGTCAGAACGCTGCAGTTTCAAGGGATAAGGGCTCTAACTGAAACAATTTTAATTAGTTGAAGAAGGCCTTGAAACCCAAGTCCTCCTTCCGAAGCTGGGAACATTCAATTTGGAGTAGGGAAGACTGACAGATGACCTGCCTGTCATATTTCAGTACTTGAAGGGATGCCATAGAGAAGAGGGACCCAAATCAGTGGATTCAAATGACCAAGAAAAAAAATAACCTAAACATTGTGAGAACTTCCTCTTAATAAGAGTTGCTCAACAGTAGAAAGGGTGGCTTCTGAGATTGGAAGACTTTCCTTCTTTAGAGGTCTTCAAACAGAAGTTTGACAATTTGGACAATTTCAACAGGAAGGAGGAAACCATGAAAATGAACAAAATCTGACTGCCAGTATTGAAAAACCCTCCAGAATCAGGACAATAAATAGAGAGCAACACTAAAAAAATAGGGGAATTAAAGACAGGAAACAGTCAGGGCCAGCTAACACCTCCCATCAAAGAACCCCCCAAGGCAGGGAGCAGCCAGGCTTTGAAGCTGCAAGGCTATTCAGTGCTAATCAAGGTGGCCAGTTGCAACATTCACGCTTGCCTCAAGCAGATAAGAGTTCTTTCTCCCACCCTGGACATGGTTTCAGAGAGAGAGGGAGATGGCTTGCCTAGTTTCCAACAAATTTCATAACCTCTGAGCATGCCAGCCATAGATGTGGGCAAAATGTCAGGAGAGAATGTTACAGGAACATGACCATAAAGCCCGGAAAACTCACAGCAACCCAGTTTCAGGAAATGCTTTACATGTCTATTGTTGTTGTGGTTCTCTCTGTGTTCGCTTCTTTTTTTGCACTGCTTCAGTTGCTGACTTTTTTTTTTGTATATCTAGAGATTCGTCTATATGGAGTGTAGTTTTAAAATGTGCATTCCTTAGGATGCATTGATCAAATCCCTTTTAAGAACATGGTATAATGAGCCTGCTTGGTTGCAACTTAGTTTAGTTTGCAATATAAAAAAAATTAATCATTGTATTAGATATGAATAGAGTCTTCATTTGATTGAATCAAATATTTTGCAACACAGGAGCCACTTGGGAGCCCACCAACCAGGCTTTCTTGATGGTTGCCCCCAGGCTCGCCCTTCATAATTCCATATTATGTGTATTGGGTTCATAATAGATGTACTGCAAGCATGTTAGCTTGGTGGCGATATCGAATCGACATTGACCATGACGATAAATGACTTTTACTTTTTTCAGTGATCCTTTGAATACCTCTTTGCCAATGTCCAATACAGTACAGGAGCCCACCTATACCACCCCCGCCATCACATCCGCCAGCCTCAGCTGCTCTTCTCAGAGCACTAGTCCTGTAACAACCGCTTCCTCCTACGACCAGGCCTCTGTGCATAGCAGGATAACATACCAAAGCTCTGTGCCTCCAACAGAACCAGCCACAGCTGTTGTCACGGTAAGTAAGCTCCGTAAAGTCTTTAGCAGCACAGATATCACCTGTTAGAGCTTGTTGGGATGGTGAGGGCAGGGGTACGTGCTTTGGGGATTATTTCCTACTAACAAACTTGCCCCAAGACTCAATTCTTAGTGCTCAGATGTTCATAATATAAACTTATTTTTATTTCAATGGGAAGTCTGGGCCTGCTTTTGGCTGATCAGATAAGATTGTTGTTGTTGTTGTTGTTTGTGGGAGTAACATAACTCAAAACCACTGGACGAATTGACACCAAATTTGGACACAAGACATCAACTAAAGCAATCTATGTCCTTCACTCAAAAAAAAAAACAATGAAAAACACAGCGAAGGGGACTTAAAAAGCCAAAAAATAAAAAATGCCCGCCAAACCCTTCTAGTATTTTCTGTTGGTTATGGGAGTTCTGTGTGCCAAGTTTGGTTCAATTCCATCATTGGTGGGGTTCAGAATGCTCTTTGATTGTAGGTGAACTATAAATCCCAGCAACTACAACTCCCAAATGACAAAATCAGGGTTTTTTTTTGAGTGATGGTCATTCCTTGGGTTAGTAGGTGTCTTGTGGCCAAATTTGGCGGCAATTCGTTCAGTGGTTTTTGAATTATGTTAATCCCAAAAATGAACATTACATTTTTATTTATATAGATTTACAGTATTTATATACTGCTTTTCTCACCCCTGGGGTGGGGGTGGGGGTGGGGGGAATCAAAGCGGTTTACACAGAGATAATGGCAAAATTCAATGTATTATGTTATATACATAATACAAATCACAAATCAGATTTGCCTGGCATTTTTGTGTCTCCAACAATGCATCCTTCACTTTAGTATTGGCTATAGGAGGGAGGAAGGTCTATCTTTCTAGACCAGTGGCTCTCAACCTGTGGGTTTTGGCCTACAACTCCCAGAAATCCCAGCGAGTTTATCAGCTGTTAGGATTCCTGGGAATTGAAGGCCAAAATATCTGGGGAACCACAGGTTGAGAACCACTGTTCTAGACATTAATATGTCAAAGTCCTCTCCAGGCATCCTTAGTGTGCCACAGAGTATTCTGAGTTTGTGGGATATATTTTGTAGTGTTTGTCCCTTGTGTATTGCCTCTTGACAAGCACATGCCATCCCAAACATGACCACAAACTCCACTGGCTGCCAGTTTGCTACTGGGCCCAATTCAGAGTGCTGGCTTTGGCCTATAAAGCCCTAAACGGTTCTGGCCCAACTTACCTGTCCGAACGTATCTCCACTTACGAACCACTGAGGACTTTAAGATCATCTGGGGAGGCCCTGCTCTCGGTCCTGCCTTCGTCACAAGCATGTTTGGCGGGGACGAGAGACAGGGCCTTCTCAGTGGTGGCCCATCGGCTATGGAATGCCCTCCCTAGGGAGATCAGATCTGCTCCCTCCTTCTTGACGTTTCGTGGCAAGTTAAAACGTGGCTATTCGAGCAAGCGTTTACAAATACAGAGTAGCTAATATAGGAAATCAAATAACCTGACAATGGAATTGGACAATGCTTGAGAATAATGAGACGCTGATGATGTTGCTTTTATTGCTTTTGGGATGTCTTATACTGTTTAATGTTTTTAATCTATATTATGTTTTTTGTATACTGATTTGTTGGAAACCGCCTTGAGTCGTCAATTGGCTGAGAAAGGTGGTATACAAATACATTAAATAAATAAATACAATAAATAAACTGCCTTAACTTCTCTTTGCCCTGAATGGGATTGTATTAGAACCCATTGAAGGGAATCCTGGTAGATGTAGAAGGTGATTTGGTTGCGCTTCTCACTCTGTTTCTTAGATGACTTGAATCAATGTTTTCACTTTGACTTTCAGAATGGACATGTTAGTGTTCGGACGCAGCCGGCCCTTGACAGTAAGTTCAGAAAATCTTTGTCCTGTTTGGAGTTAAATGTCACTTTATATTACTTTGTAGTTGTCACTATTGGGGTGACAAGTGGGGAGATAAATATTTTGCTAGGGTTTGGGCTTTTCAAAATGTGTTTATAGAAAATATACTTTATATTATATAAGATAGCTATCCAAGGTGCAGATGGATGTTAGCAAATGACATTTTTTTCACTGAATGAAATTCAAGCAAGCTGTTCTTTGATGCATTTGTAGGGTTGTGTTTGTATTTAAGTTCTGACTTTGGGTTTACAACCTCCACTACCAAGTGCTCAAGGATGTCTTATTTTTTCTCCACTAACGTAATTTGCATTCGGTCCATTGCCAGCATGGTTGGCTTTGTATTTTTCTCAACAGTGCCAAATAAATAGTAGGTTTTCCAGGTTTCTTTCTATTTTATCTGCTGTGAATAATCCCAGGTGCATCCTAGTTACACCTTCTCACTGGAGGTACCTCCAGAGACAGTACTTTCTGTGGTGGTCCACTGGCTAAAAGATTAAGATGTTGTTTCTTCTGCCATCTTCTTCTTATCTGGAAAATAAAAGAGAGCACTGCAAAAAGAGCTCGTTCAAACTCTCTTTCATAAGTTTTGATCACAGAGAAACCGTGAAAGGTGCAGAGTTCTCCTGCATTGGCCTTCCTTTGAAAGTATCTAGCAACTTGAAAGAAATAATATCAGGTGAGATAGACTAGACCCCGTAGACAGGCAAAAGTGTGTGTTTTTCTTCAGAGGTCATCATTTGTGCTATACCCATTTTCCTGGATGTGCCATGCTCATACCAAGAGTTGCTTCCTTTTATTTGCTCATTTTGATGTAAATTTCTGGTTCAATTATTTTTGACAGACTCTGCTTACCCACCTTCTAATGTTAAATCCTTCCAACAATTTCCAGTAGTTTATTTTTTCCAATCTTGCCATCACAACAGTGAAAATATGTTGGGCTAATATATTTCCAAAGCTGTTTGGCGAAAGAAGAAGAAGAACTAGAACTAGAACTAGAATTTTATTTTTCTACCCCGCCTCCATCTCCCTGAAGGGACTCGGGGTGGCTTACATGGGGCCAAGCCTAGGGGACATACAATTAAAAGCAGAGCAATAACAAAATACAATTTAAAAACATAACACAAACATAACAATAATAAACAAGTATCAAGCAACAAAAGAACTGGGGGGGAGGGGGGGGTAAAAATACGATCTGATTAAAGAGTAATTGGTTCAACAAGGTGGATGAAAATGTATATATTTGTCGTGTCAGGGCAACCAGTCAATTATATTACATTTCTAACAGAACAAAGCAAACAAACAGACAAAATACAAAATTTGTGAGTTTGGTAGTTGATTAAATGTCCTTTGACCAGTATCTGGCCACTTGGAGTACTTCTGGTGTTGCTGCAAGAAGGTCTGAAAATGTATTATAGCATAGGAAATATCATTACAACAGAGCAATCTAACAGGATCCGAAACAATTCAGTATGGCTTATAAAATCTCAATAGTAATGTAATATAGGAAATTCAGGTTGAATGATAATTAGGTTGCAGCACCGGTCGTATGTCATGGGGTCGTCAGTCAAATGCACAACGAAACATCCATGTTTTTAATTCCTTACGGAATGTGGCTAGGGAGGGCGCCAGCCTGATCTCTCTGGGGAGTTCCAGAGACGAGGGACCACCACCGAGAATGCCCTTTCCCTCGTCCCCACCAATTGCACCTGAGACAGGGGCTGGAGCGAGAGAAGGGCATCGCCGGACGATCTTAAGGATTGCGTGGGCTCATAGGGGAGGAGGCGGTTGCGCAGATAGGCAGGCCCTGAACCGTTTAGAGCTTTATAGGTAACAACCTGCACCTTGAATTGGGACTGGAAACTTATCGGCAGCCAGTGAAGCTGTTTAAACAGGGGGGTTGACCGCTCCCTGTAACTTTCTCCAGTTAACAACCTGGCCGCCAGCCTTTGCACCAGCTGTAGTTTTTGAACCGTCTTCAAGGGCAGCCCTAGGCAGAGAGCATTACAGTAGTCTAGTCTTGAGGTAACTAAGGTGTGGACCACCATGATCAAATCAGACTTCCTGAGGTACGGTCGCAGCTGGCATACAAGTCTTAACTGTGTAAAGGGCCTCCCGGCCACCGCTGACACTGAGCATCAAGCGTCAGAGCTGAGTCCAGGAGGACCCCCAAACTGCGGGCTTGTGTCTTCAGGGGGAGTGCTATGATAACCTGGTGATGGATATGAATTTGGGTAAGGCACCTGAAAAGACTATGATGTTCTCTTTCCAAGCACATATCTGATACAGTATGCTGTGGAAGATCCTATGTTCTGAGTCTTTTCTGCCAAGTCCTGAAGGGAATGGGGTGCAGACTGTATGTTCCTCAAACTTTTTAAACCGGGGGCCAGTTCACTGTCCCTCAGACCGTTGGAGGGCCAGACTATAGGTTGTTTTTTAAAAAAATCAATTTAAAAATTCCTATGCACATTGCACATATCTTATTTTGCTGTGTGGAAGGGCCCTTAGAGGGGGTTCTTTCTAGCCCTCTTTAGGCAGTAATTCCAGGAGCAGAGAATGGTAAATCTTCCTATTTCTAGTCTGACCAAATCTGGCTACTAGTATTTTAAAAAAACTCTAAAATTATAACTGTAAATAAAGAACAACACTCAAACACAGGGGAACTCCAGACAAGAAACAATCAGGGCCAGCTAATCACCTCTCAACAAAGGATTCTCCCTAAAAACTGTCAGGCTATGAAATGGTAATCAAGGTGTCCAATTGAAACATTCATACCTACCTCCAACAGACAAGAGTTCTTTCTCCCACCCTGGATCTTCCACAATTTTCCTAGTTAAAGGTTTTCCTCTGACATGAAGTCCAGTCGTGTCGGACTCTGGGGTTTGGTGCTCATCTGCATTTCTAAGTCGAAGAGTTGGCGTTGTCCGTAGACACCTCCAAGTTCATGTGGCCGGCATGACTGCATGGAGCGCCGGGGCAGCCTGCCAAGGGAGGAGCAGCCCCGTGCGACCTACTTGCGAGTAAAGCACCTCGTGAGGTGCTTTACGCGTGAGTAGGCCACGCGGAACAGCTGCCCTTGGCTGCCTCTCGCTGCCCATCGGGCCTGACGGATAGCCTGAGCCAACCAAGGGAGGGGCACTGTGGGGGGGGGGGCGCTCCTCCTCCACGGGCTGGATAAGTGCCCTTGGCGGGCCGGAAGTGGCCCATGGGCCATAGTTTGGGGACCCATGTTCCTAGCAGACACATCTATGAAGTGATGGGTGTGAAGATTGGGAGAAGGAAGATGTAGATATCTTGAGATCTATTTGTTGGGGACGTTCAGGAAAGAAAAGCAGACACGTGTTAGCGCTTCTCTTGCTGAGCCCACTCTGAAGAGCTTCGAAAAATGTTTGATGCTTTTCTAACCCTTTATTTGGCACAGTTGACGGGATGTTTCTCTTTCCTCCTTTGAAACTTGCTCTGCCCCTTTCATAGCCAGGATTGTACCGCGTGGGCCTTTCTCTGAATTGCCTTTTCCCACCTTTGCAGCTCCATCATCCGTTCCGGCGTCTAAGACAGAAACCTCTCCTCCGTCGCTAGCTGCCAAAGGCTCTTCCTTGCCTAGCACCACGGCTGCCCCTGCTTTGCTTCTCCCTTCGGCACCCCCGCACACAGCACCACTTCCCAGCTTGCCGCAGTCCAATGACTTGGCCAACAGCTCACTCTCCCAGTTAAGCAGGTACAGCAGGAGAAGCTACGGGGCGGCCATGGCGGAGCATTGTCTGGGTGGGGATGAGAGTGGCCACCGCCTTCTTAGTGATTGCTTCTCTCTCTCTTTAATTATCCTTGACTGTGGGGGTTATACATTTTGTTGTGTGGATCTATACATATAAGACCAGGGGAAAATGACCTGTAGGGATTTGCCAGATTCTGGGGTATGCTTTCCCCAGAAGCTACTATAGGCCTTGGAGGACCTTGCAGATTCATAGGCAGGATACCTCTCTAGGTCCTCCAGCACAATTGTATGCTGTGCTGAATTGAGAAGTCAGATAAGTTCATGATATACAGTTGTAGTTAATCCCGGTCCAGCCAGGAATGAATCCCCTGCGGATACAAGGGCCTTACTGTATTTACATATACAAGGGTTTTAGTATATGTCCTGGCAAGGGCTGTAGCTGAACAAAAAAGCTGACATTTCTTTTGGAAACATTCACTAAAGTGAAAAAGGAAGCTACTGAGAACGTAGCAACTCTTCATAGAAGTGTTCCTCAGCCATCCAGTCTGATTCTTGAAATTACCTGCTTTGTGTTTGTATGCAATAGGAATACAACTAAATTGTGAAGGAGGGACACAGGCATATCTGTAAGCGCCAACCCCGACATCAATACTCACTTGGCTGCTTTAGAAATTTGTGGCTGGCATTCTGTTAGTGACATATGCACATAAAAGTCATGCTATGTAAGCAGGACACATATTTACCACAGCAAAATTACTACAGAGATTTTTTTTGGTCATGTCAGAAGCGACATGAGAAACTGCAAGCCGCTTCTGGTGTGAGAGAATTGGCCGTCTGCAAAGACGTTGCCCAGGGGACGCCTGGATGATTTGGTGTTTTTATCATCCTTGTGGGAGGCTTCTCTCATGTCCCTGCATGAGGAGCTGGAGCTGATAGAGGGAGCTCATCCACCTCTCCCTGGGTTTGAACCTGTGACCTGTCGGTCTTCAGTCCTGCCGGCACAGGGGTTTAACCCACTGCGCCACCGGGGGCTACTACAGAGATGAAATCTGGATACAAATATAATGATAATAATAATGATGATGATAATAATATTAATATTAATAATAATAATGATAATAACAATAATAATAATATGCTGGATTTTGTATCACAAAATCACAAGTCAAACACTTCACAAGTCAGACGCTGTGATTTTGTGATACAAAATCCAGCATATAGATCTTATTTGCTGTGACATACTGTGCTTTTGTGTCAATAATAATAATCGTAATACTAATAATAATGCTCGGATCTCCATGCATTATTCGCTGATATAGAACAGATACATCACGCAGTCCTAGACAATTGGGAATATCCAACAAGTGATCGATTACAAAAGCAGCACAGTGTACTAATCTTGTTGTGTATCTAATGATAATGTTGATGATGATAGCAGCTGCAGCAACAGAAAACACATTCTTCTGGCAGTGGCAGAAGTCCAGTTGTTCATACAGCAACATTCCACATTGTGTTTATACCCTGTGCATTGTGGTTGCACTTTTCACACTGCTTAGCAGCACCTAGTCACCGCATTCACATTCATTTGCATTCAAAGCAGGAAAATCACATGCTTTGAATGTGATTTTCCTGCTTCTTGGCAGGAGGTTGGACTGGATGACCCATGAGGTCTCTTCCAACTCTAGGATTCTAAGTGTTTCTCTTCTTAAGTGGGGGTTGTGTAGTGCCAATACAACATATTTCCGCAGTCTCCTATCAGATCTTCACACTGAATATACAGGAAGTGCTAAAGCAGATGGGTGAGTAGGACTTTGAATGGGTACCCACCTCTCCTCCCCAGGTTTAGCCTTACCATGTTGTAGGTTTTATATGTGGTGGTTTTTTTTCTTAGCATAGGAGCCTACCAACTTGTTGACAGCAGAGATCTTTCAGCCACCTCAAGTCTTTTTCCAGTTTGCATCACTTCTCCTTGTTATAGTGAGAGAGACACGAAATGGCAGCTTATAATGAGATGCTCAGATGTGTGCTGACTGTACGTCATGCTTGTTTTCCTTCCAGCTCCCTCTCTGATAATCAGAACAGCCTCTCTTCTGCCTCACCACTGTCTTCATCTGCAGCGCATCTGGTAGGTCCTTTGTTCACTTTGAGAGCTGCTAAATGTGCATCCTGAAACCACGACTCTGAGACTAGAAGTGGGCTCTTACTTTTGCTTCTGAGGAGGGAGCAATGCCCTTGTGTCAGGTAGCACAACCCCTTGGTCTAAAGTTGCACAGTATATTTTTCCCATCCTCTGTGTCTTGAGATAGAAAGGCTTGCTTGTTAATAAGATTTCTTTCGGTGTTTAATAAAAGGGGAGCAGGTGGGCAAGGATGCCGTCCCATTGGAAAAAAGGGGGTGATGTCTTGAAATTAAAGGTTGGAGCAGCCTCCATCAAGGCAATTAAGAAATGTTCTCAAAAACTTTGTATGAGTTTATAAATCAATATTTTACTGTAGATTTTGCACTGAGGAACAAGAAATCAATTTCTGAGATGTAATACCACAGGATTTGGTAAAATAGGTTTTCTACCACACACACACACACACACACACACACACGATATATATATTATTTTATTATTATTTATATATTATTTTACATTGCCCAATCTCCCAGAGATGGAGACACAATTGATTATCTTGGATCAGGGGTCCTCAAACTTTTTAAACAGAGGGCCAGGTCACAGCCCCTCAAATTATTGCAGGGCCAGATTATAATTTGAAAAAAACATGAATGAATTCCTATGCACGCTGCACATATCTTATTTGTAGTGCAAAAAAACACTTTAAACAATACAATAATTAAAATGATGAACAATTTTAATAAATATAAACTTAGTATTTCAATGGGAAGTGTGGGTCTGCTTTTGTTGATCTTGTTGTTGTGTGCTTTCAGTTGTTTCAGACTGAGGTTGACCCTGAGCGAGGGCCAGGTAAATGACCTTGGAGGGCCAGATCTGGCCCCCGGGCCTTAGTTTGAGGACCCCTGTCTTGGATTATCTTGGAAATGGTTGTAATAAGTAGAAAACAGAAAGACTCGTATATACTCCTTACCAAGTTACCAGACAGACTTTCCTGGAATTGCTTAATATTTATCTTACCCAGGGAGGGCCAAGTGTAGCCCATGGACTTCATGCCTCGGATCCTCCAGTGATGTCTGTGTTTGTGTGTGTCAACTTTTTGAACAAGAAGTGACTGCTGGTCACTTCCTGTTGCAAAAAAAGACCTCTTGTGGGCTCAGAATGGACCAGACCATTCCCAAAACATGTCAGAAATGTCCCTCGTGCCTATTAGAGCTGATAGGCTTATGCACACTTTGGTTCTCCTGCATTGTTTCTTCCTTTAACTCTGCAAACTACAGAAGTGCATATGAGGTTATACATAGAAGGATAGAGTGGTTATCCCCCAGAAAGAAATCACATGAACAACAAAATAAGCAAGCATGGTTGGTTTTGATTACTAGGTCCATTATTATTATTATTATTATTATTATAACAATTAACAATAGCAATCAGCATTATTTTTAAATTTTTAATAATTACATTTGGCCCAGCCATATTTTTAAATGTTATTGTGTTATTGTTGATGTTTACTGCCTATTTTTTTGTTTATGAGTTTTATTGTTTTGTATTATTGTTGTATTATTGTTGTTGTTGTTTTTGCTGATGTATTGTGGGCTCGGCCTCATGTAAGCCGCACTGAGTCCCTTGGGGAGATGGTGGCGGGGTACAAATAAAGTATTATTATTATTATTATTATTATTATTATTATTTGAGATTAATTTCACAATTCAGCAGCAGATCAGTTGCACAACTTCTTCCTGCACAGTATTTTCAGTCAACTGCTCCCACAAACTGCAGTCACTCTGGAACTCTTTTACAGACCCTTGAGCACATGCCCGGCCATTGTGAGTTTTACTATTGTTTTCCCCTCCAATCTAGATGACACTACAAACTTATCACAGTACACGGTTATATCTTGTCTTAGCAGACAGGTTCTTTTAATCAATTACATAGAGCCTTCGACAAACAGCATCACAGCACAAGGAGAGAAAGTATACACTGTACATGACTTCCTTATATACAATTCTATACAATTACACATAGCAATCTCTGATTGGTTCCCAACTCATTAACTTAACTCAGACCCAGGATTGCATCATTCACAATCACCTGGACCAGGCCAGAACACATTCCCCAAATGAAGTTCTATATACAGTTAATGCATGACTCAGCATTTCCAATAGAAGCCCATTAACAGTGCATGACTCACCTATATTACATTACAATACATTGTAAAACCTGACATTATTATTATTATTATTATTCAGGGGGTTGTGACCCCATCCAACACAGGCTGTAATCCCACACCCTGATCCACTTTACAACTGACCAGGAGCACCTCTGTCTTGTCTGGATTTAGTTCCAGCTTGTTGGCCCTCATCCAGTCCATTACTGATGGCAGGCACTGGTTCAGGACCAGAACACCATCCTAGGCTATTGGTGGAAAGGAGTCATAGAGTTGAGTGTCATCTGCATAAATTTGATACCGAACTCCAAAACTCTGGATGATCTCTCTTAGCAGTTTCATGTAAATGTTGAACAGCATGGGGGACAGAATCGAATCCTGAGGGACCTCACAGGCCAGGGAGTCGAACAGGAGGCTGAGAGGAGATATGATAGCCATGTATAAATATGTGAGAGGAAGCAACAGGGAGGAGGGAGCAAGCTTGTTTTCTGCTTCCTTGGAGACTAGGACGCGAAACAATGGCTTCAAACTACGAGAGAGGAGATTCCATCTGAACATGAGGAAGAACTTCCTGACTGTGAGAGCCGTTCAGCAGTGGAACTCTCTGCCCCGGAGTGTGGTGGAGGCTCCTTTTTTGGAAGCTTTTAAACAGAGGCTGGATGGCCATCTGTCAGGGGTGATTTGAATGCAACATTCCTTCTTCTTGGCAGGGGGTTGGACTGGATGATGGCCCAGGAGGTCTCTTCCAACTCTTTGATTCTATGATTCTAGGAGTCCCCCAGCTCAATCATCTGGGTCCACCCCTCCAGAAAGGATCGGAGCCATTGCAAAACAGTGCGCTCAAGCCCTATCTCAGAGAGATACGCAACAACAGTCTCTTGGAGAGGTAGTATGGGCAGGTAGCCTCCCAGATTTGCTTCTCCTTGATCTAATCTCTTTTAAGACGTCAGACAGAGATGGGAATGTTTCTGGGGATCTCCTGTTCCTGTGTAGAGGTTGTTCTCCATTGTTGTTGTTGAAACCTGCCCTTGACCCCTTCTTCTTTTTTCCCCCTTGGTTTCCTTTTCCAGCACACCAGTGTTGAGAACTCCACTGTGCTCCCTTCTCCCTCCACCTTTTCCGTGGCGTCCACTTTGGCTGCCGCCACCTCTTCGGTCTCCACCATGACCAGCAGCATGGCCAGCACGACCAACAGCCTTGGCCTGAACGCGGCCAGTGTCTCTCTGCCGGCGGCTCCCACCTCACGGGCCACTCCTTTAGTGTCTTCAGGTTCGCAATATTAACCAATCGCATGGAAGTAGCCAGAGAGGACTCCGGTCGGCAGGTCCGCCCGCGGGGCCCCTCTCGTCCGAGAAGTGCCGAGCCTTTTTCTAGAAGACGTTGCCTTTGGAGCATGCTTTGTGCCAAGTGGTCTGTGAAATAAAAGTTGCCTGCCTTTTTTTAAATGTGTGGGAACATTCAATGGGAAAAAGCCCTCTGCCTAATATTTAATGTTTTGCCTTCAAAACAAGTTTTGTCCTGGGTTGCTGTGAGTTTTCTGGGTTGTATGACCATGTTCCAGAAGCACTCTCTCCTGACGTTTAGCCCACATCTGTGGCAGACATCCTCAGAGGTTGTGAGGTATGTTAGAAACTAAGCTAGGGAGGTTTATATATCTGTGGAATAACCAGGGTGAGAGAAAGAACTCTTGTCTGTTGGAAGCAAGTTTTAATGTTGCAATTAATCACCTTGATTAGCCTTGCAAGGCCTTGCAGCTTCAAGGTCTGGATGATTCCTGCCTGGGGGAGTCCCTTGTTTGCAATTAAAGCAAAGTTAAACAGGTGTTAGCTGGACCTGAGTGTTTCCTGTCTGAACTTACTGACAGTGAGAGCCGTTCAGCACTGGAACTCTCTGCCCTGGAGTGTGGTGGAGGCTCCTTCTTTGGAAGCTTTTAAACAGAGGCTGGATGGCCATCTGTCAGGGGTGATTTGAATACAATTTTCCTGCTTCTCGGCAGAATGGACTGGGTGGTCCATGAGGTCTCTTCCAACTCTTTGATTCTTTGATTCTAAGATTTACTGTCCCAATTTAAGAGTTTTTAAATACTTTTCACCAGATTTTGTTCATTTCCATGGTTTCCTCCTTTGTGTTGAAATTTCTGTTGAACTCTAAAATTAGGACTGTAAAGAATCCCCCCAGGCAGGAATCAGCCAGGCCTTGAAGCTGCAAGGCTTTGCAGTGCTAATGAAGGTGATTAATTGCAACATTCTCACTTGTCTCCAAGAGACCAGAGTTCTTTCTCCCACCTTGGACATTATTCCACAGATATATTAACTCCACTTGCCTAGTTTCCAACAGATCTCACAACCCCTGAGGATACCTGCCATAGATGTGGGCGAAACGTCAGGAGAGAATGCTTCTGGAACATGGAACTCACAGCAACCCAGTGATTCTGGCCATGAAAGCCTTTGACAACACAAAAATTGTCCTTCCTGCAGGAGTGAAATGAGAATGGTCTGTTTATAATTTCCTTCTTGCTAAAATGTGTCTAGTTACTTGAAAAATCTTTATTTACGGGATCAGAACGGATGAAATTATGGCAGATTATAACTGCCATAATTCCATTATTTGGATATTTATATCCCGCCCTAAATTCAAAGTTCTCAGGGCGGTAAACAATCAAAGCAATTATAACACATTAAAATGTGTGAGAGGAACAAAGTGTTAAAACTAACAAATCAAAGCAAAGTGAAACAGCTAAAATGTAAATATTCAAACTACATGAATTCATATGTCTCAAATGCTTTAATTTAAAAAAATAAGCATTTTATAACATGGTACCAAATAGCCATGTGTGTCATCTATGGGCAAGGCATTTCCTTAACCTGGGCACCGCAACAGAGAGTGTCCTCCCCTCCAGTAGATCTCAGTCCTTGGCAATTGCAGAGAAGATAATTTCTAGGCACGTGCAATCCATGGTTCTAAATGGTTGTAAAGTACTTACAAAACTAAAATTCTGTTGGTGAAAACTAGGGGGCGCTGGTGCTTTGCTTCTACAGAGTTGCTAAAGTTCTGGTGGTGAAAATTTCAGAACTCTAACAAAACTTTCAAAATTTCATTATCAATGACAGTTCCTAATTAGTTCTTGACAGATGCGACTGTCTTTCGGGCTGCAAAGGTTGACAGCAAGCTAATGGTCGGGAGCTTACTCCGACCCAGGCTGGCTTCGAACTCATGATCTTTCGGTGATTTCAATGCAGCTGAGTCCCAACCAGCTGCACCACAATCCGGTCCTAAAAGTAGGACCGGGTTGAGAGTATGAAGGTATGAGAGTTGAAGAGGTCTGATGTGCATTGGATGATTGTAGAGAGTTTGTACATATTGTATATACTGTGGGTTGTTGTAGGTTTTTTCGGGCTATATGGCCATGTTCTAGAGGCATTCTCTCCTGATGTTTCGCCTGCATCTATGGCAAGCATCCTCACTACCTCTGAGGATGCTTGCCATAGATGCAGGCGAAATCAGGAGAGAATGCCTCTAGAACATGACCATATAGCCCGAAAAAACCTACAACAACCCATTATTATTATTAAGATAAAAGTATCCGCATACGATTTAAAGTATACAAATATTTTATTATCAATGACAGTTCCTAATTGGTTCTGTCATAAAAATCATCAATAATGAAATAATAATGAAATTTTGAAAGTTTTGTTAGAGTTCTGAAATTTTCACCACCAGAACGTTAGCAACACTGTAGAAGCAAAGCACCAGCGTCCCCTAGTTTTCACCACCAGAATTTTAGTTTTGTAAGTGCTTTAGAACCATGGGATTGCAAACTTGGGCCGTCTGGGTGTTTTGGACTTCAACTCCCACCATTCCTAACAGCCTCAGGCCCTTTCCTTTTCCCCCCTCAGCCGCTTAGGGGCTGAGGGGGAAAAGGAAAGGGCCTGAGGCTGTTAGGAATGGTGGGAGTTGAAGTCCAAAACGCCCTGAGGGCCCAAGTTTGCCCATGCCTGATCTACACTGTAGGATAATAGTGTCTTTAGCCTTCTTTTGCAACGATTGCTGGAGTCTACCAAATGACAAATCCCACAATTTCACTGCATTGAGCCGTGGCATTTATAGTGGTGTTGAACTGCATTAATTCTCCAGTGTGGAGGCATTCTTGCAGTTCTGCTTTCGGGTCTCCCTGGCTGAGTTCTCATGCAGGGACTGAGTTAGTTGTCCTGAAAAGGTAGCAAGGAAGGTATCATTTTTTGCTTGTATGTCATCAGAATCTGCAAGATTTAGGAAATGCGTATGTTCCTTGAGGTCACTTGTTGATTTACAATGACATGTATTTTGTAGGTTTTCTTTTAGCAAGGAATACTCCAAAAGTGGTGTATCACACAGCCTTGCTTTGCAACACAACGTACATCACTTGGTATTCTTTGTTGATTCCCTAATTCGGTTCCTAACCTAGCCTGATAAGTTGAGTTTTCAAAATCCATTTGGATCTGATGCCATTGTGGTATTTAGGAATAACCGTCAACAAAGATAATATTGGATTGATGTGAGTTTTCCGGGCTGTATGGCCATGTTCCAGAAGCATTATCTCCTGCTGTTTCACCCACATCTATGGCAGGCATTCTCAGGGGTTCTGAGGTCTGTTGGAAACTAGCGAAGTGGTGTTTATATATCTGTGGAATAATATCCAAGGTGGGAGAACGAACTGTGGTCTGTTGGAGGTAGGTGTGAATGTTGCAATTAATCATCTTGATTAGCATTGAAAAGCTTTGCAGCTTCAAGGCCTGGCTGCTTCCTGCCTGAGGAAATCCTTAGTTGCAAGGTATAAGCTGGCCCTGATTGTTTCATGTCTGGGATTCTCCAGTAACACTGTAACAATCACCATTTCAGACTACACAGAGAAACCATTGAAATCCACAAGCATGTGGACAATTTCAACAGAAAATGAACAAAATCTGGCTACCAGTATTTAAAAAACTCTAAAATCAGGAGAGTAAGTAAAGAATAACACTCAGAAAACAGGGGAATTCCAGACATGAAACAATCAGGAACAGCTAACACCTCCCAAGAAATTTTATTTATTTTATTTACAGCATTTTTACCCTGCTCTTCTCACCCCCGCAGGGGGACTCAGAGCAGCTCGCAGGAAAGGATCTCCCCTGGCAGGCTTTGAAGCTACATGGTCATTTAGTGCTAACCAAGGTAGCCAATTGCAACAGTCACACTTGCCTCAAGCAGTCAAGAGTTCTTTCTCCCACCCTGGACACTCCACAGATAAATAAACTCCACTTGCCAAGTTTCTAACACCTCACAACCTCGGAGGATGCCTTCTATAGATGTGGGTGAAATGTCAGGAGAGAGTGCTTCCAGAACATGGCCTTGCAGCTCAGAAAACTCAGCAAACCAGGATTGTGGCCATGAAAGCCTTTGCAGAAAAGAGGCTCTTTGAATATCTGTATATCAGGAGAAAGGTGGTATAAAATAAATAGAATATATACAGTACCTTTAAGGTAGGACTGGACTGAATTCTGTGGTAAAAGTCTGTATCAACAGAAGACTAAATCAAATTCCATTTATTCGCTGATCAATTGCCTATGAATACATGAAAAGATTGGCTGGTTGCTTCCTGGGGAAATCCTTTGTTGGGAGGTGTTAGCTGTCCCTGATTGATTATTGTCATAGAGGATGCCTGCGATGGATGTGGGTGAAATGTCAGGAGAGAATGTTTCTGGAACATGGCCATACAGCCCAGGAAACTCATAGCAACTCTGATTCTGGCCATGAAAGCCTTTGACAACACAGTCTTAATGATAATTTCTCCTGAGGGGGGCATGCATATAAATATAAATATAAAAGGGATCTAGGAAGGAAACTGCTTCAGAGTCACTCTCTGCTATGCCTCTTGATTTTGGAGATTAATTGCCTCAACAGAGAGGACATGTCACTGCAAGATAGTAAGACAAGAATGGCATGACAAAGCAAGAGAGAAGATGGGAATGGGGAGCAGTGAACATGGAAGAAATGGTCGCAGGAAAGATGAGTTTGCTGCACTTCTGAAGAAAACACACATTTTGCAAAGAGACCTTTTAATTCCTTGATTAAGACACAAAGGTCGAGAGACATTCCTGGGCCATAAGAAGAGTGTAGCAGAAGACAGGAGAAAAACAGAGAGAGAGAAAGAGAATTGTGCAGCCAGAAAGATGGAAGTGGAAACCGAAGTACCAGACTGGGTTTGGTTCATTTTAATTCCAGTCTCCTTTTTTGTCATGACTTGGAAGGTGAACAGAGCGTATTTCAGATGTTGTGGCTGTGCCTTTTTCTAAAATGCTTTCCTGCCTTCCTCCGTTCACTTTGTTTTGGTACCAGCTTGTTTTTCAAAGTTGTTTCTTTCACTGTCTCCACAGGCAAAGCGCCCCCCAACCTGCCCCAAGGTGTGCCGCCCTTGTTACATAACCAGTACATTGTGGGACCTGGAGGACTTCTACCGGCCTACCCAGTAAGCATGGTCCTTGTTTTACGGAGCAGGTGTCTCTAGGCCAGTGTGGGCTCATTCATTCTTGTCCCATCTTTCCTCCAAAACGGGGACTCAAAATAGAATATAGGTGGTCAGTTGCTAGGCTGAACATGGTCTAGGGCAGTGGTTCTCAACCTGGGGGTCGGGACCCCTGTGGGGGTCGCGAGGGGGTGTCAGAGGGGTCACCAAAGACCATCAGAAAACATAGTATTTTCTCTTTGTCATGGGTATTCTGCGTGGGAAGTTTGGTCCAATTCTATCATTGGTGGGGTTCAGAATGCTATTTCATTGTGGGTGAACTATGAATCCCAGCAACTACAACTCCCAAATGGCAAGGTCTATTTTCTCCAAACTCTACCAGTGTTCACATTTGGGCATATTGATTACCTGTGCCAAGTTTGATCCAGATCCATCACTGTTTGAGTCCACAGTGTTCTATGGATATAGGTGAACTACAACTCCAAAAACTCAAGGTCAGTGTCCACCAGACCCTCCCAGTATTTTTCTTGGCCATGGGAATTCTGTGTGCCAAATTTGATTCAATTCCATCATTGACGGAGTTCAAAAGGCTCTTTGATTTTAGGTGAACTATAAATCCCAGCAATTCCAACATTCCCAAATGACAAAATCAATCCCCTCCAACCCCACCAGTATTCAAATTTGGGCGTTTCGGGTATTTGTGCCAAATTTGGTCCAGTGAATGAAAATACATCCTGCATATCAGATATTTATATTACGATTCACAACAGTAGCAAAATTAAAGAAGTAGCAACGAAAATAGCATTATGGTTGGGGGTCACCACAACGTGGGAACCTGTATGAAGGGGTCGCGGCATTAGGAAGGTTGAGAACCACTGGTCTAGGATTACAGCCTGTGCTGGATGGGGTCAGACTCCCTCTGAAGGCACAGCTTCGCAGCTTGAGAGTCTTCCTGGACTCATCGCTGAGCCTGGAACCTCAGGTTGCAATGGTGGCTAGGGGAGCTTTTGCACAATTAAAACTCGTGCACCAGCTGCGCACGTACCTTGGGAAGTCAGACTTGGCCACGGTGGTCCATGCTTTCGTAACATCCAGGATAGACTACTGCAACGTGCTCTACGTGGGGCTGCCTTTGAAAATAATAATAATAATAATAATAATAATAATAATAATAATACTTTATTTATATACTGCTCTATCTCCCCGAGGGGACTCAGAGCAGTTCCCAGGTAAAAATCACAGAATATACAAAGTAAAAACATCATAACCATAAGATTAACAAAACAAAATGTGCATAAAAATTGTCATAACACACATATATTAAAAGTAATCCTGCCTGTTCAAGGCAATTTAAAAAACTTAAAAGGCCGGGCCAAGATTTGTGCAAGGCCAAAAATTCTAGGGGGCCCGGGAATTAAACGCAATGCTATGGCAGGCAACAATAATATTAGGTACGGGTCTGTGACTGTTCATTCCGGGGCCGACTAGAGAAAGTGATCTGGGCAATTGGTAGGAAGAATAAGGCCGTATTTGACAATGTATACAGCTGAGTTAGAACTGGCCATTTTCAAAGGCTTGTTGAAACCAGCAGGTCTTCAAGCTCCTAGGAAAGGAGGGGAGGGATGGGGCCTGTCTTATTTCCCTTGGAAGGGCGTTCCAGAGGCGGGGGGCCACCACTGAGAAGGCCCTCTCTCTCATCCCCACCAACTGCGCTTGAGACAGTAGTGGGACCGAGAGGAGGGCCTCCCCGGAAGATCTTAGAGTTCGCGCCGGTTCATAGAAGGAGATGCAATCGCGAAGATAGGCGGGGCCCAAACTGTTTGATGGTTCGGAAGCTTCAAATAGTCCCAATGATAGGCAGCCAGGTTAATAACTGGGGCGGCATACATGAGCACACAACTCCCATGTTACGTCAGCTCCACTGATTGCCTGTTTGCTACCAGGCACAACTCAAAAGTGTTGGCTTTGGCCTATAAAGCCCTAAATGTTTTATTGATTTATATTGGCTGTTTATTATGCTACTGTTTTAATTACTTTTAACTGTTTTATGATATTTTTGAGCATTGAATTTTGCTATTGTTAACTGCTCTGAGTCGCCTGAGGGCTGAGATGAGCAGTATACAAATATAGTTCATAAATAAATCAATAAATAAACAGCCCTGGCCCAATTTACCTGTCTGAACGCATCTCCCTGTATGAACCACTACAGAAACTAAGATCAGAAACTAAGAGGCCCTGCTCTCGGTCCCTCCACCAACACAGGGGCCTTTAATGGGGGACGAGAGACAGGGCCTTCACAGTGATTGCCCCCATTTGTTTGCGAAGAACCTAGCAAATGCTTCACAGTGGGCTGCCGAGTTGTCAGGGATCCCGTCTTGGCAGACAGGATTTAACAGCCCTCTGACTACTCAGAACAGCTCTGCTGGACAGTTCTTTGCAGACGCAATATTAGCTGCAAAGAAAGAATTCTTTGCGGCTTCTATTGTCGTGGCGTATGCCTTACATAAAACTAATTTAAGATAAGACTGCCCAACTCTGATGAAACCATTATTCTAACCTTCTTGAATGTAAATGTGCTTATGTATCCTGCCAATACTAGTAGAGTACAATAATAAATGTAATAATAATAATAATAGAGTAAAATAATGAAATGTAATAACAGTAGTAATAGTATAAAATAATAAATGTAATAATAATAATAATAATAATAATAGAGTAAAATAATAGAGTAAAATAATAGAGTATTTATTTATTTAAAACTTTTGTATCCCGATCTTCTCTACCTCTGTAGAGGGACTTAGACCAGCTATATAAATAAATAGTAATAATAAATAGAGTAATAATAAACAGAGAAAAATAATAAATGTAATAATAACAACCATAAAGTAAAATAATAAATGTAATAATAATAATAATAATAATTAGAGCAAAATAATAAATGTAATAATAATAGAGTAAAATATTAAATATAATAATAATGAATAGAGTAAAATAATAAATGTAATAAAAATAATACTTTTAGAGTAAAATAATGTAAATGTAATAATAATAATAAGTAGAGTAAAATAATAAATGTAATAATAATAATAACAACAACAACAACAGAGTAAAATAATAAATGACTTTGACTCGAGTACAAGCTGAGGGGGCCTTTTTCAGGCTAAAAGAAGGGTTGAAAAACTTGCCTTATACTCAAGTATATACAGTAAATCAGAAAACAAAAATAATGGTTAAGGTGAAACTGAATCAACTGTAGTATTAAAACCATTGGAAACAAATTCCTTGGTCTTCCAATAGCTCATTTTATCTTTGTTAAGATCCTCTGGTTCAGTAAGTTATGGCATTCAGTAAATTCCAGGCCACAACTTTGATGCTGATATTGCAAGGAATGGAATCCGAATTCTGGACTGATCCAGCAAAGCCATCTCACACTCAGCTTGCTCCTCTGGCTTCAGATTACACGCAGCTGGGACCTGTTTCCTAATAATTGCAGATAAAAGTCCAATACCCTTGAACTGAAATTAAATAGGAAAAAGTCGTATTTTTTCTTCAATAAATTGTGTCAGTGTGCTGCATTTTTAGTTTTTTGCAAAGGGAGGTGTGAACTAGATAGCCATCTCCTGCCATAAATATGTCTTACAGGCCTTCAAACAGTCCTGTGTTGTATCCCCGTGCCCACCCACTGCAGGAATGTAGTGTTGCTGTTTTGTGCCTTATATGACCCTGTAGTCATATAAGGGTCCTTAAGCCGCTCCTCATAGGGCTTGTTCTCCAGATAAAAGGTCTGGAGAACAAGCCCTATGAGGAGCGGCTTAAGGAGCTGGGCATGTTTAGCCTGAAGAAGAGAAGGCTGAGAGGGGATATGATAGCCATGTATAAATATGTGAGAGGAAGCCACAGGGAGGAGGGAGCAAGCTTGTTTTCTGCTTCCCTGGAGACTAGGACGCAATGGAACAATGGCTTCAAACTACAAGAGAGGAGATTCCATCTGAACATGAGGAAGAACTTCCTGACTGTGAGAGCCGTTCAGCAGTGGAACTCTGCCCCGGAGCGTGGTGGAGGCTCCTTCTTTGGAAGCTTTTAAACAGAGGCTGGATGGCCATCTGTCAGGGGTGATTTGAATGCAATATTCCTGCTTCTTGGCAGAATGGGGTTGGACTGGATGGCCCATGAGGTCTCTTCCAACTCTTTGATTCTATGATTCTATCACAATGTAGGGGAATGGTGCAAGCCAGAGCTGCCCATTGCTTCCTCCAAAAACGCATCCCCAGGAACCTCCAAGGTGAACAGTGATTTCAGTCTCTTGGTGGAGTGAGGTATACTTAAACATAAACATAATGATGATGATGATAATCTTGATGAACACTAGCCATTCTTCAGATGCCTGGTCAACACTTTATTCATGGCCCTGGGTCACAGCTGAAGAACATGTACAGCTAAGTGATCAAAACAGAGAAGTGCCTTAATGTTTGTTTCCCTTCCCCTCCTCTCTGTCTTCAAGCAGATTTATGGTTATGATGATCTCCAGATGCTCCAGTCTAGGCTGCCTATGGTAAGTAGTGTTTTCTAATATTCTTCAGGCTGCAATGGGGCACATGGGTGTTCTTTGGAAGAACCTGTTACATAGACTTTGATGCCCAAAGTATTTATTTATTTACAGTACTTATATTCCGCCCTTCTCACTCCATAGCGGACTCAGGACGGATCACAATGCACATATACATGGCAAATATTCAATGCCATAGAACAGGGATCCTCAAACTTTTAAAATAGAGGGCCAGGTTACAGTACCTCAAACTGTTGGAGGGCCAGATTATTATTATTATTATTATTATTATTATTATTATTATTATTATTACTACTACTACTACTACTACTACTACTACTATTATTGTATCTGCAGCATGGGCCAGCCAGATTATAATTTGGAAAAAAAAACATGAATGAATTCCTATGCACACTGCACATATATTATTTGTAGTGCAAAAAAAAAAACACACTTTAAAACACTACAATAATTAAAATTGTACAGGAGTTGATTATAAATTGTATGATTTTAACTGTATTTGTGTTTAGATTGGCTGCAGTAATGCTGGAGCGGCCTAAGTCAGAGGAGTCCTCCATGTGCGTTGCCATGGAGACCGATGCAGGAGAGAGGGAAGTGGGAGGAGCTTAGAGGGGAGAGTTTGAAAAAAAACAGTTAAAAATCAGTTAGGGTTTAGGTTTAGAGGAGTGAGCAGTCAGGAGTTAGGTTCAGAGGAGTCAGGAGTTAGGTTCAGAGGAGTGAGGAGTTAGGAGTTGGGAGAGAAGGAAAGGAAAGGTGGCGGAGTGACTTGTGAAGCAAAACTTTGAGGCTTTGAAAAGCTGGGTTTGGCTATTGGAAGTTTCTCAGGCTAGTGCAGCCGAATGGTGAAACATAGCTGGTATTCTTTTAGTCTAAGGAGAGGCTAAAGAATAGTTTACTTAGTATTTGATCTAGGGAGGATCAACTAAGGGAAACATCCCTGTATGGAAACTTTGTCTGAAACAAGTGCTCTACGTCAGAAAGATACTGTGTTACTTGAAAGAATGAACTGTTAAAGTTACAAGTATTATTCCAAGTGCAACAAGGAAAAGTTACGTCTTGCAACCACACGCTGTGTACTTAATAAAATTGTTAACTTTTATTTGAAGATTGCCTCAGCTCCGTCTATTCTGTGTACCAAGTGCCATTTCTCACAATATTACAACTTACCTCACGTGGTGGCAGAAACGTAGGGAAAAGTAACCAAATAAATCTACATTCTTCTCTCCAGTCACGCTACAGTATATACAGTGTAATTACTACTAAGTTATTACTTTCTTAATAAAGGAGGAGGTGCAATTGAACAGCCTCCCTTCTAACTTGATGGTAAATTTGGTTCCTAATCGGCAACCTCCATTGCAAATCGGCTAAGTCTTTTTAAAATTGGGAACTGGGGTAAAATCTCCTGAATACTGGTTCCTTTTAAATTGGTGGCAACAATAAATCATCCCTCAGCTCCCTTGCTTCTTTTCAGACTTAAATTGACTCTGAGTGAGGGCCGGGTAAATGACCTTGGAGGGCCGTATTTGTAGCACAGCTACAAACAGATTGTTAAGCCAGTGAACCTTTTGCAAGTGAGAGCTCTCTCTCTCTCTCTCTCTGTGTGTGTGTGTGTGTATACATACACTAGCGGTCCCCTGCCATGAGTTGCTGTGGCCCAGTCTGGTGATCTGGAAAATAAAGTAATGAGAAAGGGTTGGTTTCTAATATATGTAATGTCTTTATACTTGTGGGTAAACAGTATTTCTTGCTGTTTCTTTGCCAATGTTGATGTGGAGATTGTCTGGTTTGCCTACTCTGGAACATGCAAGATAGCATTGTCCTACTTTAGGGGTCCCTTTCAAATCTTTGATACTGCAACTGTTATATACATATCTGTGTGTGTGTGAATGGCTGGACAGCCCTTTGTCAGGAGGGCTTTGATTATGTTTTCTTGCCCTGGTGAAGGGAGTTGGACTGGATGGCCTTAAGGCAGCATTTCTCAACCTGGGAAGTCAAGACCCGGGGGGGGGGGGTCACTAGGGGGGTGTCCGAAGGGTCACCAAGGACCACCAGAAAACACAGTATTTTCTGTTGGTCATGGGTGTTCTGTGTGGGATGTTTGGCCCAATTCCATCGTTGGGGTTTGGAATGCTCCTTGTGTAGATGAACTATAAATCCCAGGAACTACAACTCCCAAATGTCAAGGTCTATTTCCCCCAAACTCCATGTGTGTTTATATTTGGGCATATTGAGTATTTGTGCCAAGTTTGGTCCAGATCCATCATTGTTTGAGTCCACAGCGCTCTCTAGATATAGGTGAACTACAACTACAAAATTCAAGGTCAATGCCCACCAAACCCTTCTAGTGTTTTCTGTTGGTCATGGAAGTCCTGTATGCCATGTTTGGTTGAATTCCATCATTGGTGGAGTTCAGAATGCTTTTTGATTGTAGGTGAACTATAAATCCGAGCAACTACAACTCCCAAATGTCAAGGTCCATTTCCCTTTAACTCCATCTGTGTTCATATTTGGGCATAGGGAATATTAGTGGCAAGTTTGGTCCAGATCCATCATTGTTTGAGTCCACAGTGCTCTCTGGATGTGGGTGAACTATAATTCCCAAACTCAAGGTCAATGTCCACCAAACCCTTCCAGTTTTTTCTGTTGGTCATGGGAGCCCTGTGTGCTAAATTAGGTCCAATTCCATCATTGGTGGAGTTCAGAATGCTCTTTGATTGTAGGTAAACTATAAATCCCAGAAACAACAATTCCCAAATGACAAAAGCAATTTTTTTTTGCTTGGAGGACATAAATTGGACTGTTAGGTGTCTTGTGTCCAAATTTGGTGTCAATTCCCCCAGTGGTTTTTGAGTTCTGATGGTAGCACGAACTAACATTACATTTTTATTTATATAGATATTGAGTATTTGTGCCACGTTTGGTCCAGATCCATCATTGTTTGAGTCCACAGCGCTCTCTAGATATAGGTGAACTACAACTCCAAAATTCAAGGTCAATGCCCACCAAACCCTTCTAGTGTTTTCTGTTGCTCTTGGGAGTTCTGTGTGCCAAGTTTGGTTCAATTCCATCATTGGTGGAGTCCAGAATGCTCTTTGATTATAGGTGAACTATAAATCCCAGCAATTACAACTCCCAAATGACAAAAATCGTAAATTTTGGAGTGATGGTCACTCCTTGTGTTGTGAGACTTTTGTTGCCAAATTTGGTGTGATTTCGTTCATTGGTTCCTTTATTTTTAAGGTACTCATTACGCACAGAGCATTTATATATATATATCTTCCTTGTAATCAGCCCTTCCTTGTAATCAGCCCAATCAGCAGCCTGGCTCCAGCATTTCAAGACTCGCTAAAGAAGGCATTTTCTGCAGAGAGAGGATAGGAAGGTGTGTTTTGCTTTGACCAAATCAGATGTCTCTGGGACCACACCCTTGGGAAGTTTGATTTCTCAGCTTGGACCAGAATGTAAATTACAGTATAGCACTAGAATAGAGAAAAATAAAACAGGTCACGCAATATGCCAATTAAGAGTTAGGTTTTTTATTTTTATTTTCGGTATTTCAAGTATTATTTTTTTTACAATTTTGTACAAGAGACTCGTATACAAAACTGTGCCACTGTTACACATAGGAATCCCTGTTGGCTTTCCTCTGAAGTTGAGAGAGTGTGACTTGATGATCCAATGAGTTTCCAGGGGCATTAAAAACGGTCCATGTAAATAACACGCATATAAAAAAATAGACTTTGAGCAATTCATGGTATAAAAAATATTATAACATTTTTAATAAATAATTCCACAAAAATAATGTATATAAATAAATAAATAAATCAATAAATAAACACACACACACACACCCCAACGCATATAAATTGAAATTAGGGTGTTCTCAAATGTCCATCCGCTGTGTCAGAATGTCAATGTGGGTGAAGCCCATCTGCAGCTCCAGCCTCAAAATGTCCCAGGCGCAAGAGCTCTGTCCGTTCTCTTTGAGGAAAACCCGGATCCTCTGGAAGTATTTCTTCAGCTTCAGCGTGGTTTTCCATTCCGTTGTGCTCCTTCCCAGCGTCGCCTCCTTTTTTGCAAGGCACCTCTGGATGCGCTCGATTTGCGCGTGCAACATGCTGAGGAACCTGTGAGGGCAACATTATCAATATATTAATGTATAGTCAGTGGTAGGGTGTCAGAATGTGAAGTCGGGGGAAAACCAGTCATTTTTTACCTTTTTCGTTCGTAGCCATCATCCTCCCACCCCTTGGCCTCATTCATGGGCTGCCTTGAGTTCCTAAAATACAATATGTTGTTGTTGTTGTTATCATCATCATCATCATCAGCAACAATCATGCAAATTTGAACATGTTTTAATGGTTTTTAACTGGGAATTTTAAAATACTGTGTATATTTAATCCTGTTTTAATGTTTGCATATTTACATATGATGATGCTTTTATGTTAAGCTGCTTTGAATCTCCTGCAGTAGAGATCAAGCGGGGTATAAATATTTATAATAACAACAACAACAACAACTATATATATATATATATATACACACACACACACACACACATATATATGCAGGTACAACTGTACCAGGAGCTCCAATTTTGTTTGCTTTGCATTGAGTGTTCGTTGCAGTCCTAAGTTTCAGGGACTCTGCAGATAGGTGGCTTCTTTTGGCTGCAATCATAGGGCAAGCCACCTGTCAATTATAGTTAAGTTCCCTGGTCCCGCCCCCTTTTTGGGTTTTTGGAGGGAATAGGAGCCTTTTTGGGTCAGTCCACACAGAGAAGCTTTCCATGCAGGACATAATACCAAGAGCTCCTGTAGAAAGCTTCGTCTTCTACAGCTTGGCCGGGGTTATACAGCCCTACAGCTTGGCCGAGGATCATACAGCCTTACAGCTCCTTTGCTGAGGGACTTCAGCCAGCCATCGCTGAAACCTGAACTCCTTTTCCCTTGGAAGTCTACAAAGCTCTGCTTGGTAAGGGTCACTCGCGGAAGCCAGAAGCAGTTGGTACCGGGTGCAGGGGCTCCACGCCAACAGAGGCAAAGAAAGACTTCCCAGATTAGAAGTTAAGGATTTCCCCATTAGTTAAAATAGCAGTCATGAAGATAGTGCCTGTTCCCTGTGGACAAGATTGAAAGAGCCTATAGACTGTTAAGTTAGAAGCTCCTGGTTGCGCAGTGGGTTAAAGCGCTGAGCTGCTGAGCTTGTTGACCGAAAGGTCGCAGGTTCGATTCCGGGGAGCGGTGTGAGCTTCCACTGTTAGCCCCAGCTCCTGCCAACCTAGCAGTTTGAAAACATGCAAATGTGAGTACTGCTCCGGCAAGAAGGTAATGACGCTCCATGCAGTCATGCTGGTCACATGACCTTGGAGGTGTCTACGGACAACACCGGCTCTTCGGCTTAGAAATGGAGATGAGCACCACACCCCAGAGTCGGACACGATTGGACTTAATGTCAGGGGAAAACCTTTACCTTTACATATATATATATATCCATTGCAGACATGAGAGAAGCCTCACACAAGGATGATAAAAACATCCAATCATCTGGGCGTCCCCTGGGCAACATCCTTGCAGACGGCCAGTTCTCTCACACCAGAAGCGACTTGCAGTTTCTCAAGTCGCTCCTGACACGACAAAAAAAAAGGAGCAACTTGAGAAACTGCAAGTCGCTTCTGGTTTGAGAGAATTGGCCATCTGCAAGGACGTTGCCCAGGGGACGCCGAGATGTTTTACCATCCTTTTGGAAGCTTATCTCATGTCCCTGTATGGGGAGCTGGAGCTGACATAGGGAGCTCATCTGCGCTCTCCCTGGATTTAAACCTCCGACCTGTCCTGGCACAAGGGTTTAACCCATTGCATCAACGGGGGCTCCTAACAACAATAATCATTTATATTTATAATAATAATGTAAGAAAAACAACAAGATGGATCAGGGAACTCACCTATTTGCAATTGTGGGTTTCCACTCGCTTTTCACGAGATCGCCGCTTAAGATGCTGAAGTATCCCTGAAGCATTTCACCGATTGCTTTCGTGGCAAATTCCGGACGATGTCCTTTCAGGGTCTTTGCAGGCAGATTGAAGCTGGTCATATTCTCCAGACACTCTTCGGGAAACTTTCTGCCGGCCACTTTCAGCATCTTCAGGCTCTCTGAATTCAGTCTTTGCTGCTCAAGTTTGAGAGAGTTGCAGCCCAGAGCGGAGAGGTGAGCGGGGAGCAGGAGCACCAGTCCCAGGAGCAGGTTGGGAGTCATGGTTTCAGGCAATGGAGGAAGAGGCTCCATCCCTTATTTATGTGGCAGGACATCTTTCCATTCATCACTTTTCTAATTCACCCAAATTCCCATGCTGGTTTCATTTTCAGTTTCCGCTTTCTTATACCTTTTTGGAATTTCGAGGCAGCTTTCTGCTTTCTGCCTTTGGTCAAGTTAGTGGCAGGCCCATAGCCAGGATTTTGATTTGGGGGGGGGGGGGGGGCTGAGTCTGAGTGAAAGAGGGTCTACCCTAGCAAACCTTTTGTATCATTACCCCAATACCCCCATGCATATGGGATATATTGAGTATGGTGGTCAGATCATGATATGAATAAACATAACAGTTTAAATAATGCACCAGTAAGGCCTTTTCGCGAACCACCATGAGAATTTCGGGGGGGGGGGGGGGGTGAAGCCCCTCAAGCCCCCCCCCCCCCCCCCGGCTACGTGCCTAGTTAGAGGTATTTCCCATCCTTCCTAACTGCCCAGTTTCAAGAAGCAGGTGATAAGATACTTGCGTCTCCATCACACCTGTATTTATTATTATTATTATTATTATTATTATTATTATTATTATTAATTTTTCCAAATATTTTTATTAAACATTTACTAGGAGAGTTGGGAAGAGGGGGACAAGGGAATTAAAAATTTGGGGATTGATTGATTATTTATTTATTTATTTCGGTTTCTTCTACCCCACCCTTCTCACCCCGAAGGGGACTCAGGGCGGCTTACAAAGCAAAGGCACAATTCGATGCCCGCATCACGTAACAGTCAAAACAGAAATAGCATCAATTCACAGTTAAACAACAATTCCTACATTACAACTATAAAAACCAATAACCAATAACAGCTTAGTTATTTCTTAGTTGCATCTTTTACAAATGTCCAGTGCAGTGTTTCTCAACCTTTCCTAATGCCGCGATCCCTTAATACAGTTCCTTACGTTGTGATGACCCCCAACCTTAACGTTATTCATAATTGTCATTTTGCTACTTTTATGAATCGTAATGTAAATATCTGATATACAAGATGTATTTTCATTCACTGGACCAATTTGGCACAAATACCCAATACACCCAAATTGGAATACTGGTATTGATTTTGTCATTTGGGAGTTGTAGTTGCTGGGATTTATAGTTCACCTACAATCAAAGAGCATTCTCACCCTCATCTTTCTTTGAAAACAATATCCTAGCTTACCTACCTTGTTCATGCCCAGCATTTTAAATTTTAATTATTACATTTGGCCCGCTGTATGTTATTGTTATTGATATTTCTTATTGTGTATTTTTTGTTTTTGAGTTTTTATTTTATTTTATTTAACTGTTTTGTATTGATTATTTGTTATTGTCTTTGTTTATTGATGTGCTGTGGGCTTGGCCTCATGTAAGCCGCACCGAGTCCCTTGGGAGATGGTAACGGGGTACAAATAAAGTATTATTATTATTATTATTATTATTATTATTATTATTATTATTCTGAACTCCACCAACGATGGAATCGAACCAGTCACAGAACTCCCACGACCAACAGAAAATACTGGAAGGGTTTGGTGGGCATTGACCTTGTGTTTTGGAGTTGTAGTTCACCTACATCCATTGTTTGGTGGACTCAAACAATTATGGATCTGGACCAAACTTGGTACGAATACTCAGTATGCCCAAATGTGAACCCTGGTGGAGTTTGGGGAAAATAGACCTTGACATCTGGGAGTTGTAGTTCCTGGGATTTATAGTTCACCTACAATCTGAACCCCACCAACGATAGAATTGGACCAAACTTATCACACAGAATCCCCATGACCAATGGAAAATACTGTGTTTTCTGATGGTCTTTGGTGACCCCTCTGACACTGCCTTGTGACCCCTCCAGCGGTCCCGACCCCCAGGATGAGAAACACTGGTTTAATATGTCGGAAAAGAGGAAACAAAGAGGGTTGTTGAGGTATGGGGTGTTCTTTTACAAAATTATCATTGTTTACAACTAAGTCAAGCACGTATTTCATAAAATATTCAGGATTCTAACAATTTTAAGTCCATTGGTTGCATCTCAGTCATGGGCAAACTTCGGCCCCCCAAGTGTTTTGGGCTTCCAACTCTTCAGTTTGCAAATACCGCATTTTAATAATGGAAATATTTAAAATGGCAATTGTTTGCATTCATTTCAGCATAGTATATATATATATAAGTTCTACCTGTTGTTTACTTCCGATTCCCTTCTAGTGATTTGAATCCATTTGTTCTGGTCTCATCCTCTGGATCAGCAGTAGAGAAGTTCAGTGTTCACGCGAAGCCAGACATGGGCAAACTTTGGCCCTCCCTCCAGGTGTTTTGGACTTCAACTCCCACAATTCCTAACAGCCTACCGGCTGTTAGGAATTGTGGGAGTTGAAGTCCAAAACACCTGAAGGGAGGGCCAAAGTTTGCCCATGCCTAGCTTTGCCTTACCAAAAGCAACACACCTTGGTCTCTCCATGCTGTATGTAAAATCAACAACAACCGAAAAGTTTGTGCCATCGATCCTTCGTTTTCTGTTTCTGTCTCGCGGTGGATTCCCCTGCCTTACGCCTCCCTCCTTCGGTTTGGAAACCAGAAAACAGCCTGTGAGTCAGGCTGAGATACGGAAAGGAAAACCTGGCAAGAAACCAAAAAATGCGTAGGCGGCTTTCCAAATATAGTCAAGGAGGGAGGTGGTGCTGCATTCGATGTTTTCTTCGAATGCTTTCTTCTTTCAAACAGCAACAAACTCTGAGGCAAAGGCAGAGCCATTCCCCCCCTGACTTGTTTTGGTCTCCCTTTTTGAAAAGCATGGTAGTGAAACAGGAAGAAAAGCTGCAAAGGAAGGAAGGAAGGAAGGAAGGAAGGAAGGAAGGAAGGAAGGAAGGAAGGAAGGAAGACCTTTCCCAGACTAAAGTGTGCCTTCTGATTATACTTGGATTGAAATGCAAAATGAGAACAAAGCCCCAGGCCAAAGCTGCTTTGTCAGCCTTCCTTCTCCCTTCATCGTTTGCTTCTTTGAAAAAGGCACTTTCTCTAAAGATGAGAGGTCTTCCTTACTCACATCTTCTTTAGTCTTCCTGAAGTCTTCCAGACTCATATCTTCAAGGGCCTGGAGAACAAGCCCTATGAGAAGCAGCTTAAGGAGCTGGGTGTTTAGCCTGATGAAGAGAAGGCTGAGAGGAGATATGATAGCCATGTATAAATATCATCATCATCACCATCATCATCATCTTTAATTACTTATTAATCGCCCTTCATCCGAGATGCTCCAGGCGATTTACATAGCAGAAATTATACAGGATAAAACACATACATACAAATATTAAAATTAACATGGGTCAAATGCTGTAGTAAAAAGCCAGGTCTTAAGTGCTAGGATAAAATGCCCTAAGTCACACATGGCTCATCTCAAATAGGGAGGCCATAAGGAATTCCATAAGGCTGGGGCAGAAATAGAGAAGGCCCTGCATCTGGTGCTTTCGAAGTGCACTTCCCTAGGACCCGGTATAGAGCGCAAATCGCATTGGGATGGTCGTGGCGACCTCCAATGATGGTAGAAGGAGAGACGGTCTCTAAGATACAATGGACCCTGGCCATATAAAGTTTTAAAGGTCAGGACCAGCATCTTATACAAACCACGATACTCAATTGGGAGCCAGTGTAGATGCCGCAGCACTGGTGTTCTATGGCATTTCATGGGTGTTTTTGTGAGTAACCTGACTGCAGCATTCTGGACAATACGGAGCTTTTGGGTCGTAGAAATAGGAAGGCCAACATACAACGCATTACAAATATGTGAGAGGAAACTACAGGGAGGAGGGAGCAAGCTTGTTTTCTGCTTCCCTGGAGACTAGGACTCAGTGGAACAATGGCTCCAAACTACAAGAGAGGAGATTCCATCTGAACATGAGGAAGAACTTCCTGACTGTGAGAGCCGTTCAGCAGTGGAACTCTCTGCCCCGGAGTGTGGTGGAGGCTCCTTCTTTGGAAGCTTTTAAACAGAGGCTGGATGTCCATCTGTCAGGGGTGCTTTGAATGCAATATTCCTGCTTCTTGGCAGAATGGGGTTGGACTGGATGGCCCATGAGGTCTCTTCCAACTCTTTGATTCTATGATTCTTGAGATTATTCTTTAGTCAACAACAAATTGATATATTTGTGTATTATAAAGATTATATATTTATTATTATTTATTTTTCCAGCATGATAAGTATCGTTATACAATGTATTGTCGAAGGCTTTCATGGCCGGAATCACTGGGTTGTTGTAGGTTTTTTCGGGCTATATGGCCATGTTCTAGAGGCATTTTCTCCTGACATTTCGCCTGCACCTATGGCAAGCATCCTCAGAGGTAGTGAGGACCTCACAACCTCTGAGGATGCTTGCCACAGATGCAGGTGAAACGTCAGGAGAGAATGCCTTTAGAACATGGCCATATAGCCCGAAGGACAAAGGACTCTTGTCTGCTGGAGCTAGGTGTTAATGTTTCAACTGACCACCTTGATTAGCATTTGATGGCCTGGTAGTGCCTGGAGCAATCTTTTGTTGAGATTAGATGTCCCTGATTGTTTCTTTCTTGTGCTAGGCAAAGGCCATAACAAAGAACTATGGAATGCACAAAATATTCAGAAGTACAAAAGGTGATGACTAAAGCTATTTGTTAGTTAATTTAAAGCAGTGGTTCCCAACCTGTGGTCTGTGGACCACTAGTGGTCCCCAAGTATTAAAACAGTGGTTCTCAACCTGTGGTTCTCCAGAAATCTTCCAGAAATCCCAGCCAGTTTTCCAGCACTTAGGATTTATGGGAGTTGTTGGAGAGTGGTACTAATGTTGGAGAGTGATCCCAGGTCAAAGTGGTCAAGTGGTCTCTGGTCAAGTGGTCCCTTGTCAAGTGGTTCCAGATCAAAAATAGGTTGGGAACCACTGATTTAGTTAATAAGAACCTTTCATGTTACAGGTAAATTTCTAACATAAAAAATAAATGACAATTTGTGGCATTTTTATCCAGCCCTCTCTGATATTTTTCTGGCCTGCTTCTTCTATCTCACTACATTGCTGTGGTTTTAGTAGGGAACTGTGGTTATTGTTATGACAAACCAAACCACATTTTAGATGTTTTTTAAACCACAACAACATTTATAACATTATTAATTCTAATGGTTATAATTGCAAATATTTACAATTTTATTACATTCTTCTTTCATTGTGGTTTGGTTGCAAGTCCGTGTCTTAAGTGAGTGGAATGGATGGCATTGATCTGATAAGCGTGTTAAAATCCTCCCTTAATGTTTTTATCTGAGACTTACAAATTGTAATGGAAACATTTTTTTTGGAAAATGGCATTCATATCCATTTGGAGATCATAACCTTTTGAGAAAGCATGATTTTTCTGAGACGAACCAAAATCCGATTTGAGTAGAATGTTCTCAAGTGGTACACAACCAGATGCAATTATGCAAGCCAATTTGGTTTTCAGTTGTTAGACTGGTTGTTGTCTGTGATCTGTTAGGAAAACAGTATATGCCAGGGCACAAAACAGCGGTGCTTCAGTAGTGTTTTTCAGTTGCCCAAAAATACATCTACTCTCCCATAAAACAAATTGTTTTATATTATTCACTCAAGATATAAAAATGAAATATGTGTTATCGAAGGCTTTCATGAACAGAATCGCTGGGTTGCTGTGAGTTTTCTGGGCTGTATGGCCATGTTCCAGAAGCATTGCTTCTGGAACATGGCTATACATCCTGGAAAACCCACAGCAACCCAAAAATGAAGTAGACTTTGATAAAAAATAACATATTTAATTTACTCACAACTTCATGTGTTCAGCATACACAGGTACACAACTTATCAGTCCAGTTACAGATATGTTTGAAATCATCTCTGTGTGCAGATGGCACAGGGCATTGTTCTTGCAACAAAGCAGGTGAGCAGTCCAAAGCCTAATGGAGTCTGAGCTCTGTGCTCATCTCAGAGCTGATCATGTGGTCTGTAGCCCCTCCCACAACTTCTCAGGAAATCATAGAGCAAAGGAAATCTAGCTGCATACCAGAACATACATACAATAAGCAAGCAACAGGATTATATACAAACAAATTACTAGGGGAGGCTGGAAGAAGGTTGCAGTTTCCAACAATGTTGTTTTTAACCGTTGATTGTGAGAGATCAGCCAGGTCTATCATGTGAGCTGATTATTCCAGCCAACGATTGAGAATACAAAGTGTAATTATTTTCATGTGCTCCTCTTCCTTTTACAAACACAATGTTTCATGGAAGGATATTGACTGGCATCCTTGGGGACAACAATACTAAATATCAATAACTTCTGATGTTTTCTTTTCTTCAGGATTACTATGGAATCACATTCCCTGCTCCTGCAACCTTGACGGGTCGAGAGGGAAGCCTTGCTAACAATCCTTACTCAGGTGAGTGCGGAAGCGTCTAGACCTCGGTATTGTTTATTAATGCCTAGATCATAGGCTATTTGCATACAAATGATGCAATACATTATAAAAGTGCAACAATGTAAAATAACTAGCATATCTACCAGGTGTTGCTAGGAGTCGTTGGAGTCACTGCCTGCTTACTTTCTCCCTTCTCTTTCCTTTCCCTCCTTTCCCTCTATTTCCTTTATCCCCACTTCCTTCCTTCTTTTTTTCCCTTTCTTTCCCTTCTTTTTCTCAGTCTTTATTTTCCCTCTTTCTACTTTCACAGAAGGGCTACTTCACCTATCCACAACCAATCTAGTGACTCACAGAGGGCCACTTCACCTGTGGTGCTATGGTTTTTAACTTTGAACATGTTTTAATGGTTTTAAACTGGGATTTTAAAAAATACTGTTTATATTTAATCCTGTTTTAATGTTTGCATATTTGTATATTTTAAATTGTATGCGGATGCTTTTATCTTAATAATAATAATGGGTTGTTGTAGGTTTTTTCGGGCTATATGGTCACGTTCTAGAGGCATTCTCTCCTGATGTTTCGCCTGCATCTATGGCAAGCATCCTCAGAGGTAGTGAGGATGCTTGACATAGATACAGGTGAAACGTCAGGAGAGAATGCCTCTAGACCATGGCCATATAGCCCGAAAAAACCTACAACAATCCAGTGATTCTGGCCATGAAAGCCTTCGACAATACAGTAATAATAATAATAATAATAATAATAATAATAACACTTTATTTATACCCCGCTACCATCTCCCCAGGGGACTCGGTGCTTCTTACATGAGGCCAAGCCCAAAATACAACAATACATGCAGTAACAACAACAATTGTTACAAGCAATTATAAAACAATAAAACAATAACATAAACATTATCAATAGGACAACACACTTTAAAATATATGGGTAGGCCAAATGTAATTAAAATTAAAAATAATGCTGGACATGGGCGAAAAAGTGATGGGGCATTTTGTGGAAACATGCAAGCAGACCTAAAACAGTATAAAGTGCTTTGGAGGACAAAGTGCTATGGGATCATTATTCTGGGAAGGCACACTGGAAAAAGCACATCTTCAAGCTCCTCCTAAAGACTGCCAGAGTTGGGGCCTGCCTGAAGTCCTTAGGAAGTGAGTTCCAGAGTCAAGGGCCCACCACCGAAAAGGCCCTCTCTCTCATCCCCACCAATCGCGCTTGCGATACAGGTGGGAGCGCGAGCAGGGCCTCTCCAGATGATCAAAGAGATTGTGTGGGTTCGTATGCAGAGATGCGGTCACGAAGGTAGGCGGGTCCCAAACTGTTCAGGGCTTTGTAGGTAAGAACCTGCACCTTGAATTGGGTCTGGAAAATGAATGGCAGCCAGTGGAGCTCCTTAAACAGGAGGGTTGACACTTTATTTATATTCCGCTCTTCTCCCCTATGGACGCAGAGCAGATTACAACATTTACATACATAGGCAAACATTGAGTGCCTTTACAATCATATACAATGAGACACACAAACAAAGGCAAAGGCTTCTCCTTTCATTTCCAGCTTCTGGAGGTGGTGCTTATCTCTGGCTCTGTGGAGATACTTTTTCTGTCTTCAAGTTGAGGAGCCTGCATTATCACCCCCTGGTCATAGAATCATAGAATCATAGAATCATAGAATCAAAGAGTTGGAAGAGACCTCATGGGCCATCCAGTCCAACCCCATTCTGCCAAGAAGCAGGAATATTGCATTCAAATACCCCTGACAGATGGCCATCCAGCCTCTGTTTAAAAGCTTCCAAAGAAGGAGCCTCCACCACACTCCGGGGCAGAGAGTTCCACTGCTGAACGGCTCTCACAGTCAGGAAGTTCTTCCTCATGTTCAGATGGAATCTCCTCTCTTGTAGTTTGAAGCCATTGTTCCATTGCGTCCTAGTCTCCAGGGAAGCAGAAAACAAGCTTGCTCCCTCCTCTCTGTGGCTTCCTTTCACATATTTATACATGGCTATCATATCCCCTCTCAGCCTTCTCTTCTTCAGGCTAAACATGCCCAGCTCCTTTAGCCGCTCCTCATAGGGCTTGTTCTCCAGACCTTTTATCATTTTAGTCGCTCTCCTCTGGACACATTCCAGCTTGTCAATATCTCTCTTGAATTGTGGTGCCCAGAATTGAAGAGAGATATTGACAAGCTGGAATGTGTCCAGAGGAGAGCGACTAAAATGATAAAAGGGTCTGGAGAACAAGCCCTATGAGGAGCGGCTTAAGGAGCTGGGCATGTTTAGCCTGAAGAAGAGAAGGCTGAGAGGGGATATGATAGCCATGTATAAATATGTGAGAGGAAGGCAAGATTACTTGGAGCATCTCTTTGCCTTTTCCTGTCAAAGCTCTACCTATATGTGGCTGGCAAGATTACTTGGAGCATCTCTTTGCCTTTTCCTGTCAAAGCTCTACCTATTTATCTACTCACGTTGGCATGTTTTTGAACTGCTAGGTTGGCAGGAGCTAGGGCTGACAGACAGGATTCAAACTGCCAACCTTCAGGTCAGCAGTTCAGCAGCACAAGGGTGTAACCCATTGCACCACCTGTGAGTCTCCTTTGGAAATATAAATAAATATAATATAATAATAATAATAAATTCTGAAAAAGGAGACAAAGGAGGGCCTGATTCTGGCAGCCCAAGAACAAACCATTAGAACCAATGCCATCAAAGCCGGAATTGAAAAGTCGAGAACAGATCCCAAATGTAGACTCTGCAAGGAAGCAGATGAAACAATAGATCCCACCCTCAGCTGCTGCAAGAAGATCATGCAGACAGACTACAAGCAGAGGCACAACACTGTTGCTCAGACGATTCATTGGAACTTGTGCCACAAACACCATCTGCCTGCGACAAAGAACTGGTGGGATCACAAGCCGGAAAAAGTTACAGAGAATGAACACGCCAAACTCCTCTGGGACTTCCGGATTCAGACTGACAAGAGTTTTGGAGCATAATACTCCTGACCTCACAATCGTGTTAAAAAACAAAGTATGGATCATTGATGTCGCAATCCCAGGTGACAGCAGGATTGCAGAGAAACAACTGGAAAAGCTGACACGATATGAGGATTTAAAAATTGAACTGCAAAGACTCTGGCACAAGCCAGTCAAGGGCGTCCCAGTGGTGACTGGCACACAGTGTGCAGTGCCTAAAGACCTCAGCCTGCACTTAAACATAATCGGCGCTGACAAAATTACCACCTGCCAGCTGCAGAAGGCCACCTTACTGGGATCTGCACGCATTATTCGCCGATACATCACACAGGCTTAGATACTTGGGAAGTGTCCGACGTGTGATCCAATCCAACAGCCAGCAGAGTGTCTGCTGTGGACTCATCTTGTTGTGTTTCAAATAATAATAATAATACCAACAGTCAATCCTTCCCTTTTCCACAGCCAGTCTAGTGATGTCACAGAGGGCCATTTTCCCTATCAATATCCTTTGTGATAAAAAGGTAAAGGTAGTCCCCTGACATTGAGTCCAGTCGTGTCTGACTCTGGGGTGTGGTGCTCATCTCCATTTCTAAGCTGAAGAGCCAGCGTTGTCCGTAGACACCTCCAAGGTCATGTGGCTGGCATGACTGCATGGAGCGCCGTTACCTTCCCGCCGGAGCGGTACCTATTGATCTACTCACATTTGCATGTTTTCGAACTGCTAGGTTGGCAGAAGCTAGGGCTGACAGCGGAAGCTCACGCCGCTCCCCGGAATCGAACCTGCGACCTTTCGATCAACAAGCTCAGCAGCTCAGTGCTTTAACCCACTGCGCCACCGGGGACTCCTTTGTGATACAAATTAACACAAATACATTGACTTTTATGTACATCGATATAGAAATACTCCATAAAACAATTGGCATACACAGACTAAAATTCGCTATCATTAAAATATAATATAGTACATCGAATATAAACAGTGATAGTAAAATTGTGGATTAAATTCAATGGAGGTTAGGAATGGGAATCACTGGTCTAGGCCTTCAGGCGTTCGTGGTCTGTTGTATTCAATTAAGTTTGCTGTGGCATCTATTGACAAGCCCCCCTTGCAAGCATGGGCAAACTTGGGCCCTCCAGGTGTTTTGGACTCCAACTCCCACAATTCCTAACAGCCTACTGGCTAATGTATTGTCGAAGGCTTTCATGGCTGGAATCACTAGGTTCTTGTGGGTTTTTTCAGGCTATAGAGCCATGTTCTAGAGGCATTTCTCCTGACGTTTCGCCTGCATCTATGGCAAGCATCCTCAGAGGTTGTGACCTCACAACCTCTGAGGATGCTTGCCATAGATGCAGGCGAAACGTCAGGAGAAATGCCTCTAGAACATGGCTCTATAGCCCGAAAAAACCCACAAGAACCTAGCCTACTGGCTGTTAGGAATTGTGGAAGTTGGAGTCCAAAACACCTGGAGGGCCAAAGTTGACTCATACCTGGGCCTATTGGCGTTCCTTGCACTTAGAGCGACTCCTATAATGGCTGTGAGACACCCTTTCTCCTTTTTCTTCTCTCCCACCCCATTGCAGGTGATGTAACGAAGTTTGGCCGCGGAGACTCGGCCTCGCCGGCACCGGCCACCACGTTGGCCCAGCAGCAGGCCCAGCAGAACCAGGCGCAGAGCCACCACTCGGCCCAGCAGCCCTTCCTCAACCCCACGCTGCCGCCCGGGTACAGCTACACCGGGTTGCCCTATTACGCCGGCGTGCCGGGGGTCCCCAGCGCATTCCAGTATGGGCCCACCATGTTTGTAAGTCATACCAGGCATTGTGCCAGATTCTCCTCCAGAGCAGCTTTTCCTAAGCTTCTTTTCTATGGGAGTGATCTCTCGATGTGTATGTTCTCAGCTTGGGATGGCAGTGGTTTCAAGTGGAAAAACCTACGAGCGTTGAATGAAAAGTAATGCCTCTTCAACAGATAGCAGTACTGGTATGCGGCAGGTACTGGCTTGTTCTGTAGACTCTCCTCTACAGTTCCATTTGGGCAGGAAGCCATAGCATTGAACAGTCGTGATGTTAAAGTGCAAAGTATGGAAACTTCGTAACTCCTCAACATATGGCAGTACTGGTCTGCGGCAGGTACTGGCTTGTTCAGTAGACTCTCCTCTACAGTTCCATTTGGGTGGGAAGCCTTAGCATTGAACGGTCGTGATGTTAAAGTGCAAAGTATGGAACCCTCGTAACTCCTCAACAGATGGCAGTACTGGTCTGCGGCAGGTACTGGCTTGTTCAGTAGACTCTCCTCTACAGTTCCATTTGGGCGGGAAGCCTTAGCATTGAACGGTCGTGATGTTAAAGTATGGAACCCTGCGCAGACGGTTGGTCAATGCATCTTAAGCAATGTGCAGTCATTGAATTCTTGACCACAGAAGGTGTCATCCCAAAGGAGATTCATCAGAGAATGCAAGCTGTTTATGGTGATGGTGTTGATGTTTTTTAAAAAAATATATCTTTATGGGTAGGGTTTGTGTGGGGGGGGGGGCTGAGGGTACATTATTTTTTGGGAAGCTTACTTTACTTTATGGTGATTGTGTTGATGTGAGTACTATGCGTCGTTGGGCGAGTAAGTTTAAAGATGTTGAGGTGGGAACATCTGACTTGCGTGACAAACAAAGAGTTGGACGTCCTGTGACAGCAACCACCGAGTTTCACAAGCAAAAGGTTGACAGGTTGATTCAAGATAATAGTCAGAGATAAATTTAAAGCATAATCGGCATTTCACAAGAACGTGTGGGTCACATTATTGCTTTGCTTGGCTATCAGAAGATCTGTGCATGATGGGTACACAGCACAACTTCAGAGACTGGATCTCACCACCGTACGGCATCTTCCATACAGTCCAGATTAAGCACCGTCTGACTTCCATCTGTTCCCAATAATGAAAGAAGATCTGCGGGGACATCATTTTGCTTCTGATGAAGATGTTGAGAGAACTGTAAGACGCTGGTTGCGGAAACAGAGTGTCGACTTCTTTCGTGTTAGCATCAGAAAACGTGTTTATCGTTGGCAGAAATGTATCCAATTGTCTGGTGATTATGTGGAAAAGGGAATAGAGGTAGTTGTAGGTTTTTTTGGGCTATATGGCCATGTTCTAGAGGCATTCTCTCCTGACGTTTCGCCTGCATCTATGGCAATCATCCTCAGAAGTAGTGAGGTGTGTTGGAACTAGGAAAAGGGGTTTATATATCTGTGGAATGACCAGGGTGAGACAAAGGACTCTTGTCTGCTGGAGCTAGGTGTGAATGTTTCAACTGACCACCTTGATTAGCATTTGATTGCCTGGCAGTGCCTGGGGCAATCTTTTGTGGAGAGGTGATTAGATGTCCTTGTTTGTTTCCTCTCTGTTGTTGTGCTGTTCTAATTTTAGAGTTTTTTTTAAAATACTGGTAGCCAGATTTTGTTCATTTTCATGGTCTCCTCCTTTCTGTTGAAATTGTCCACATGCTTGTGGATTTCATTGGCTTCTCTGTGTAGCCTGACATGGCGGTTGTGAGAGTGGTCCAGGATTTCTGTGTTCTCAAATAAAATGCTGTGTCCAGGTTGGTTCATCAGGTGCTCTGCTATGGCTGAGAAGCCATTGACATCCACAAGCATGTGGACAATTTCAACAGAAAGGAGGAAACCATGAATATGAACAAAATCTGGCAACCACTATTTAAAAAACTCTAAAATTACAACAGCACAACAACAGAGAGGAAGCAAACAAGGACATCTAATCACCTCTCAACAAAAGATTGCTCCAGGCACTGCCAGGCAATCAAATGCTAATCACGGTGGTCAGTTGAAACATTCACACCTAGCTCCAGCAGACAAGAGTCCTTTGTCTCACCCTGGTCATTCCACAGATATATAAACCCCTTCTTCCTAGTTCCAACAGACCTCACTACCTCTGAAGATGCTTGCCATAGATGCAGGCGAAACGTCAGGAGACAATGCCTCTAGAACGTGGCCATATAGCCTGAAAAAACCTACAACAACCTAGTGATTCCGGCCATGAAAGCCTTCGACAATACATTGAATAGTGGTAGTTAAAGAGGACATTCTAAGGATTATTTCTGCATTTGATTTATTAAAATATTCCCATCCAAACCCAAGTGACGAAGGCGGAGGCATTACTTTTCATTCAACCCTCGTATGTCTTCCTTACGGCAAGAGTTAAGGGGAAGCGTATTAATAGTGACTTGACCGTTCGGCCTCCTTCTCTCTGCTTTCTTCCAGGTCCCTCCGGCATCGGCCAAGCAGCATAGCGTCGGCTTGAACACGGCCTCCACGCCTTTCCAGCAGGCCAGCGGCTACGGGCAGCACAGCTACGGGGCAGGTGACTATCGCAAGCACCACTCTTCCTCTTCCTAGCACAGGGAATCACTGCCCCTCGTATGTGTCTAGGCTTTTCTCACTCGCTTGTGTTTCTAACACACTTGTCGTAGTCGCAGTTAAAGAACAAAGACTCAGAGAGGAAGGGAGCTTGCATGATTTCACATTCACTCCAAACAGGCAGGACTGTGGAGCTGAGAAGAGAATGGATCACAGAATCAAACAGTTGGAAAAGATCTCTAGGAGCCATCCAGTCCAACCCCCTTCTGACAGTCCAACCCTAACCCTCCTCAACAGATGGCCATCCGGCCTCTGCTTAAAAACCCCCAGAGAAGGAGACTCCACCATGGAAAATCTCATTCAAAGCACCCCTGGCAGATGGCCATCCAGCCTCTGCTTAAAATCCTGCAAAGAAGGAGCCTCCACCACACTCTGGGGCAGAGAGTTCCACTGCTGAACAGTTAGGAAGTTCTTCCTAATGTTCAGATGGAATCTCCCTTCCTGTAGTTTGAAGCCCTCTGGGGAGATAGAGCAGAATATAAATAGTTGTTGTTGTTCTGCGTCCTAGTCTCCAGGGTAGCCGAAAACAAGCTTGCTCCCTCCTCCCTATGACTTCCCCTCACCTCTTGATCCCTGGCCCTCATCCTGTCTCCTCTCAGCCTTCTCTTCTGCAGGCGAAAGAGGCCCAGCTCTTGATGCTGCTTTGTCCTCATAGGGCTTGTTCTCCAGACCCTTGTTCGTTTTAGTTGCCCTCTTTCTCTGGACACATTCCAGCTCAGAGTCAACCTCTCCCTTCAATTGCTGTGCCCAGAATTGGACCCAGTGTGATCCTAGGTAAAGTGGTCTGACCAAGGTGCCCTTTGTCTTGCTTGTCGACAGGCTACGAAGAGCTGACGCAGGGGACGGCGGCTGGCGATTACACCAAGGGAGGCTATGTGGGCGCCTCTCAAGCACAAAACAAGTCGACTGGCAGCGGACCGGGAAAAGGCAAGTCAGATCATGCTCATTGTGCGCAGTCGTTTACAGTGTTGACTTTGATTACTCATGGATTGGAGCAGGCATTGGCAAACTCTGGCCCTCCACCAGGTGTTTTGGACTCAAAACTCCCACAACTCCCAAGGCTTTTAGGAATGGTGGGTGTTGAAGTCCAAAACACCTGGAAGAGGGCCAGAGTTTGCCCATACCTGCTCCAGATCCTTCAATGCAATTCACTGAAGGAAGCACCACCGTTTCAGTTCTTGCAAGGCCTGTGTGTAATGGCTTGGGTCTGAAGCAAATGCTTGGCTGTAATTAATTAATTAATTAACAACATTCATATACCGCCCTTCTCACCCCGAAGGGGACTCAGAGCGGCTTACAAGATATATATACATACATAAATTTATTTATTTATTTATTTATTTACTTTGCTTATATACCGCTGTATCTCAAGCCCGAAGGCGACTCACAGCGGTTCACAAACAGTAAAAACAGTAGAAACAGCAGTGGTTCCATACAACATATAACAAGTGACTTAACACATTATCCATAAATTACCAATAAGCAATTACAATGCACAATTATTATGAAAAACAACTGTACCCAATCTTCTCATCATCCAAGCGTAGTCCAGGTTCGTCGTCCATTGTTCCATTCCTATATTCCATTACCAGATTGCACTAAATTACTCAAACGCCTGCACAAACATCCAGGTCTTCACCTTTTTGCGGAATACCATTAGAGATGGTGCTAGTCTAATGTCCGTAGGAAGGGCGTTCCACAGCCGAGGAGCCACCACCGAGAAGGCCCTATCTCTCGTCCCCGCCAGCCGACTTGAGAAGCAGGCGGGATCGAGAGCAGGGTCTCCCCGGAAGATCTCAAAGTCCTGGTGGGTTCATAGGCAGAGATGCGGTCGGATAGGTAGCTTGGGCCGGAATCGTTTAGGGCTTTAAAGGCCAACGCCAGCACTTTGAATTCAGCCCGGTAGCAGATCGGTAGCCAGTGGAGTTGGCGCAACAGGGGGGTTGTATGCTCCCTGCGCTCCGCTCCTGTTAAAATCATGGCTGCCGAGCGTTGGACTAGTTGGAGCTTCCGAGCTGTCTTCAAAGGCAACCCCACGTAGAGAGCGTTGCAGTAGTCTAACCGGGATGTAACCAGAGCGTGGACTACCGTGGCCAAGTCAGACTTCCCAAGGTACGGGCGCAGCTGGCGCACAAGCTTTAGCTGTGCAAATGCTCCCCTGGTCACCGCCGAAACCTGGGGTTCCAGGCTCAGCGATGAGTCCAGGGTCACACCCAAGCTGCGAACCTGCGTCTTCAGGGGGAGTGCGGCCCCATCCAACACAGGCTGTATCCCTATGCCCTGTTCGGCCTTGCGACTGACCAGGAGTACCTCTGTCTTATCTGGATTCAATTTCAATTTGTTCGCCCTCATCCAGACCGTCACAGCGGCCAAGCACCGGTTCAGGACCTGGACAGCCTCCTTAGTAGCAGGTGGAAAGGTGGAATATCAGTATTCTGTATTACTATATTGTACTATACCGTTATATTGTAATGTTATTAGTAATATTACAAGTAATATAAAATATATAATAATATATTAGTATTATATCATATTACATTATAATATCATAAATATATGTATATACAATATATTATATTATATTAATTTACTAGCTGTTCCCTGCCATGTGTTGCTGTCTGTGTATATGTGTTTTGTGTGTGTACATATGTGTATGTGTATTTATGTGGTTATGTGCATGTGTTGTAATGTATTTTTTGTTTTTTGGCTTTTTAAGTCTCTTCTGTTGTGTTTTTCAGTGTTTTTCTGAGTGATGGTCACTCGTTGGCCTGATAGGTGTTTTGTGTCCAAATTTGGTGTCAATTCGCCCAGTGGTTTTTGAGTTATGTTAATCCCACAAACGAACATTACATTTTTATTTATATAGATTTATTTACCATATTTATATACCACCCCTCTCAGCCCAGAGGCGACTTGGAGCGGTTCACAAATTAACAACAATTTGATGCCTCAACAATTACAAGAATTAATACAAATAATTAATGCCTTGGATTTGAAACCTAACCCCATATGGGTCCCCCCTCCAACATGGTTCAGTGATGGAGAGATTGCTGCAGGGAAAAGGGGAGGAAGAAACCAAGAATCTTGGATCTTCTTTGGATCCAGACCAATGTAATGAACATAACTACAAGCTCTTCCTCTTTCCTCAGATCACTGGTATATCCGATGTAGCGGTTTCGGTATTAGACAATGACTTTGGAGACCTTGGACAAGCCACGTTCTCTCGGTCACAGAGGAAGGCAAAGGCAAATCAATCTGAATTAAATGCTACCAAGAAAGCCACACGAGAGGCTTGCTTTAGGGTTGCCATTAGTCTGAAATGAAGGCACACAAAAGCAAATGTATAATCGAAACTATTAAGCTTAATTTTTTTATGATTAAGATGGAAAATAAATCAGGGGATGACGCCAGATGATGACTTGTTTGCTCAGGTTGCTTAGCCCTTTCCCAAGACGTCCTGTGAACCCATTCTCACAATCACATGGTTTATTTATGGAAAGGCTCTTGCCTCTGAACCTGGAGTTTCTGTTTGACCGATACAAGCAAAAGACTCTTCTCTTACCAGTTGGAATTAAGCAAGGAATGAGTGGCTCGTTTAAGGATTTGGTAGGAAGGAGAGAGCGCTGAAGAAGGGCATTTGCTGTCCTTGTGGCTCCGGATGTCTCAGAGTCAGAGGGGCAAGGACCCCTGACCTTTGGCTGCCCTCTTTGCTGGACCTCCATCTTCATTGTCTTCTCCTCCTGCAGGTGTTTCTGTGACCTCAAGCAACACTGGTGTGCCTGATATTAGCGGCTCCGTCTACAACAAGACTCAGGTGAGGCATGAACTTCTGCTGGCTTTAGCCTTCTTGTTGTTGACAGTTTCAGGCCCTTGATATCCTCCCAGCCCTTAAAGTGAAGGTTCCCCATTCAGATTCCGTCTTCTACTACTTTCCCCTTGGAAATAAGACCCAACTGGAAAACTAAGGCCTAGCATGACTTTTCTGGAGGCTTGTAATATAAGCCTAACTCCCAAAATAAGCCCCAATTAAGATCATCAGCCAGACGGATGCATTTACTGGTTGTCCATCCATTGGAGCACTTAACAGACATATTGAATTATAAAATAGTAACATTAATATATCATTAAATATTAATAACATCATTGACATTGTATTGTCGAAGGCTTTCATGGCCGGAATCACTGGGTTGATGTAGGTTTTTTCGGGCTGTATGGCCATGGTCTAGACCGTTCACACCTAGCTCCAGCAGACAAGAGTTCTTTGTCCCACCCTGGTCACTCCACAGATATATAAACCCATTTTCCTCGTTCCAACAGACCTCACTACCTCTGAGGATGCTTGCCATAGATGCAGGTGAAACATCAGGAGAGAATGCCTCTAGAACATGGCCATATAGCCCGAAAAAACCTACAACAACCCAGGCTAAAGATGTTGCTTAGTTATGCATTCAGAACCAAACAGCTGACATAAAATGTCGGTGCAGGTACCATCATTGCTGCTGCTACTTTATGCTTCTCTCCATGTTCAGTAGATCTGTAAATATGTAATAGTTCCAAAATTAAGATGCCCCACCAACTGAAGTCAAACTTTAACATTTGCCGTAACATGGAGCCACCACAAACCCTTAAGACGAGATGCTGCAGTGCCCAGGCAAATCAATGTTTTTAATGTGCTGCCAAAGGGGGATAAACGTTGTTAATGCAGACGTTATCTTGAAGGATCCCAGGCCCAGTTTCCCTAGTCATGAATATGACTTTGTGAAGCATTTGTCTTCTATTCACCCCGCAAAATCCCCACAAGATGATCTTCTTGTGGTTGTTGTGGGTTTTTTAGGGCTATATGGCCATGTTCTAGAGGCATTCTTTCCTGACGTTTCGCCTGCATCTGTGGCAAGCATCCTCAGAGGTTGTGAGGTCTGTTGGAAACTCGGAAAATGGGGTTTACAACCTTTGAGGATACTTGCCATAGATGCAGGTGAAACATCAGGAGAGAATGCCTCTAGAACATGGCCATACAGCCCGAAAAAACCTACAACAACCCAGTGATTCTGGCCATGAAAGCCTCCGACAATACATTGACCTTAGGTTTGTGAAGCGCCTCCAGGGATGGGTCTGTGTGTTGACGCAGGTCTCTTTCCCCTCCTTTGCCCAGGCCTTTGACAAGCAGGGCTTCCACGCCGGCACTCCGCCGCCGTTCAGCCTGCCCTCGGCCCTGGGCTCCACGGGGCCCCTGAACCCTGGCGCGGCCCCCGGATATGCCCCGGCCCCCTTCCTCCACATCCTGCCGGCCCACCAGCAGCCCCACTCCCAGATGCTGCACCATCACCTTCAGCAGGATGGACAGGTGAGTTATCCAGGTGGACAATGCGGGGAGTGAATGGAGCTGGAAGGCGTCCAGAGAAGGACGGACTGAATGGTTAAAGCAGTGGTTCTCAACCTTCCTAATGCGGCGACCCCTTAGTACAGGTCCTCATGTTGTGGTGACCCCCAACCATAATGTTATTTTCGTTGCTACTTCACAACTGTCATTTTGCAACTGTTATGAATCGTTATGTAAATATCTGACGTGCAGGATGCATTTTCAGTCACTCGACCAAATTTGGCACAAATACCCAATATGCCCAAATTTGAATACTGGTTGCGTTGAGGGTGATTGATTTTGTCATTTGGTAATGCTGGAGTTGCTGGGATTTATAGTTCGCCTAAAATCAAAGAGCCTTCTGAACTCCACCAATGATGGAATTGAATCAAACTGAACACACAGAATTCCCATGACCAAGAGAAAATACTGGGAAGGTCTGGTGGACATTGACCTTGAGTTTTTTGGAGTTGTAGTTCACCTACTTCCAGAGAACACTGTGGACTCAAGCAATGATGGATCTGCATCAAATTTGGCACAAATACTCAATATGCCCAAATGTATACACTGATAGAGTTTGGCGAAAATAGACCTTGCCATTTGGGAGTTGTAATTGTTGGGATTTATAGTTCACCCACAATGAAATAGCATTCTGAACCCCACCGATAGAATTGGACCAAACTTTCCACACAGAACCCCCATGACCAACAGAAAATACTATGTTTTCTGATGGTCTTTGGCGACCCCTCTGACACCCCCTCGCGACCCCCACAGGGGTCCCGACCCCCAGTTGAGAAACACTGGGTTAAAGGCTTGGAAGCCAAACTCTACGAGGAATGGCTTAAGGAACAGGCATGGGCCAACTTGGGCCCTCCAGGTGTTTTGGACTTATTTATTTATTTACCATATTTATATACCACCCCTCTCAACCCGAAGGCGACTCGAGGCGGTTTACAGATCTCCAGTGGTGTAGGGCGCAGACACCCTGTGATAATGCGGCATGTCTCATTAAGAGCCACATCTATTGTTTTAGCGTGGTGAGATGCTAAAGAGAAGCACAAGGGCAGATGTCGTCGTTGTGTCTGGTTGTGATCCTCAGGTTGTGCCAGTCAGTTTTCGTATGATATTGTTTCTAGCGCCCACTTTTTGCTTGATATTCAGGCAGTGCTTCTTGTAGGTCAGAGCACGGTCCAGGGTGACTCCTCCCAGGTATTTGGGTGCGCTGCAATGCTCCAGTGGGATTCCTTCCCAGGTGATCCTCAGAGCTTGGGATGCTTGTCTGTTCTTAAGGTGAAAAGCACATGTCTGTGTTTAAGGTGGATTAGGGATCTGCTGGCTTTCCCTGTAATAGGCAGTAAGAGCACCTAGAGCTTCGGAGAGCTCCTGTTCAACCATCTCAAAGATCCCTGCTTGAACGGTGATGGCACGATCATCAGCGTAGATGAAGCTCTCTGTCCTTTCTGGCAGTGGCTGGTCATTTGTGTAGATGTTGAACATGGATGGAGCAAGCACGCTCCCCTGAGGCAGACCGTTCTTCTGTTTCCGCCATCTGCTTCTCTGGCCCTGGAACTCAACAAAAAAGCTCCTGTTTTGTAGCAGGTTTCCCATGAGGTGGGCGAGATAATAGTCCTTTGTGATATTATACATTTTTCTCAGGAGGAGGCGGTGGTTTACAGTATCATAATAATTACATATAATACAAACCATATAATAACAATAAAACCATTATTGCAGTTGAAGTCCAAACCTCCTGGAGAGCCCAAGTTTGCCCACACCTGCTTTTAAAGATCTTTGAGAAGAGAAGGCTAAGAAAGCCATGTGTAAACTATCTGAAAGGAGATCCCATTGCAGATAATTTTTTGCTTCTCCAAAGACTAGGACACAATGGAGCAATGTAAAGAGATTCCACCTAACTATTAGGAAGAACTTCCGGACAGTGAAACTCACTGCTTCTAAGTCCAGTGGAATCTTCTTCTCTGGAGGCTTTTAAACAGAGGCTGGATGGCCATCTGTTGGAACTGCTTTGACTGGATGTTCCTGCATGCCAAGGGTTGGACTGGATGGCCCTTGGTGTCCCTTATCAGGTGGGGAGAGCTTAAGCAAGTGCCCAAATTAAAGGGTCATGGACAATTAGGTGTATCAGTTCATCACTTTGAATCCTTCTGCAAGGTCCTACATGCCTCTTGCATTTGAGGAAGTAGGTCTGAGTCTGTGAAAGCTTTTGCTCCCAACTTCATTTTCTCACGTACCTAAGTTGCTACAAGATCCCTTTTCTCCTACAGCTGTTCTTCTCATGCTAGAATATGTAATATATTGTAGGCCCCTTGGTTAAACAGGTTAAGCACGTTAAACCCCTGGTTAACCCCTTGGTTAAGCAGGTTAAACCACTGAGCTTGCTGACCGAAAGGTTGGCGATTCGAAGCTGGGGAGTGAGGTGAGCTCCTGTTGTTAGCCCCAGCTTCTGCCACTCAAGTAGTTCTAAAACATGCAAATGTAAGTAGATCAGTATGTACCGCTTCTGTGGGAAGGTAACAGCCCTCCATGCAGTCATGCCGACCACAAGTGTCTATGGACGATGCCGGCTCTTCAGCCTAGAAATTGAGATGAGCACCACCCCCCAGAGTCGGACCCAACTAGACTTAATGTCTGGAAACCTTTACCTTTACCTTTGTATTTTTAAATGTATTTGCATGGATTGTTTCCAAGCCAGGTGTCACCCATCTTATCTGTCTGCATTCATTCCATAGTTTAGATCAAATATGGGCAAGCTTGAACCCTCCAGGTGTTTTGGATTTCAACTCCCACAATTCCTAACAGCCTACCGGCTGTTAGGAATTGTGGGAGTTGAAGTCCAACACACCTGGAGGGAGGGCTGAAGTTTCTGCCCTTGCCAGTCCTAACCCGTGACGGTCACTCTTGTGTCCTCTCCTTCCAGGGCGGATCCGGGCAGCGCAGCCAGGCGAGCGGCATGCAGCAGAAGTCTCAGGCCACCAAGACCGCCTACGGGACGTCTCCCTACTGGACAAACTAACTCCAGACATGGAAGGAGGGGAAGAAGGGAGGAGAAGGAAGGAAGGAAGGAAGGAAGGAGGGAGGGAGGGGGGAGAGGAGGCGGGAGAAGGGGGTCCCCTGGGAAGAGGGGCCCCGAGCCCAGCCCGGGGGAGCGGCAGCCGCCCTCCTCCGTGTGCGCGACTCCTAGCCCGCTTCCTCTATGATTTGCTGTTGTATGTAATATATTTATGTATGTATTTGTAAATGTAATAGAGCCTAACAGTGGTTTCTGCAATTCCTTTTTTTGGAAGAGTGTTCATTTCCTTCCTAGATACACACAGGCGCCTTCTCTGACCCCGCTCCACTCTTGCGTGGATTTTTTTTTTGTATTTCTGGGAATGTGAAACACGAGTCAAAGGACAAACTTGGACCCAGGAGCTGCCAATTTAGCCCAGGACAGAATTCTTGGTCTCCAACTTTCTTTAGAGGTAGTTTTGTTGACCTCAATTGTCTTAGGAAGCTTCCTCTCCCCAGGAGCTTCCAATTTAGCTTGGATGGTAAACAGAACAGAATTATTGGTCTCCAACTTTCTTAAGATGTAGTTTTTGTTGATCTCAACCATCTTAGGAAACGTTCTCTCCCCCTTTTCCCATTTCTATCAGACTCAGGATTTGATATTCATAGGCATTTGCACAAGTTTGGTTTTTAATTAGGGAAGTTTATAACATAATTAGGGAAGTTTATAACCCTTTTTTAATTTTATAGACTACAGGACAGTTAAGGTTGGGCTCTGCCATTATTTTTTCAGTAAGACGATGCAAAAATCTGATTTTGTTTACTTCTTTCCCTCGGCCTGGGCTTCACTCCCCGTTTCTTGGGATGACCGCCATGCTCTCCTCCTGCATCTCTATTCTTCCTCCTCCTCACTTTGTGGAGGGTCGAAAAATGACATTAAAGGTGTGTGTGAATGGAAGACTCTTCGTTCTTCCTGCTGTTGCACCACCGCGACTGTGTTAGGGCTTTCCTCCTGAGCCCAGACTCCCAATAAAGTTCCACGCATATCAATGGTGTTGGCGGTCTCCGTTTACAAAAGCCTTCCCTCCGCCCCTATTAGTTCTATCCGTACTTCAAGTCCAAGGCAGGACTCCATCACCTATATGTGCCTTGAAGTTGTCTGTCAAGGTATGCAGACCCCATGAATTGCATAGGGATTTCATAGGCAAGGAACCCACAGAGATGGTTTTCATGGGTGTGCACAACTCAAAAAAAAAAAGGGGGGGCTTCCATACTTCAAATCCAAGGCAGAACTCAAACAATATGTGCCTTGAAGTTAAATGTATTGTTAGAGTTCCAAAAATTTAGTTACGTTTCTCGTTACATTATTCGACCATTTGCACCAATGGGGCCACTAACTGGGCTCCTCCATCTCTCAGCTTTCTGGACAACATTTGCAACAATTGCAGCACACACTTGCCACTCTAAGTCTCCCAAGTTTCTGTACATTTCGCTCATCCACTTATTTTTAGGATGTATTGTCGAAGGCTTTAATGGCTGGAATCAATGGGTTGTTGTAGGTTTTTTCGGGCTGTATGGTCATGGTCTAGAGGCATTCTCTCCTGACGTTTCGCCTGCATCTATGGCAAGCATCCTCAGAGGTAGTGAGATCTGTTGGAACTAGGCAAAAGGGTTTATATATCTGTGGAATGACCAGGGTGGGACAAAGGACTCTTGTCTGCTGGAGCTAGGTGTGAATGTTTCAACCGACCACCTTGATTAGCATTTGATGGCCTGACAGTTCCTGGAGCAAACTTTTGTTGAGGGGTGATTAGATGTCCTTTGTTTCCTCTCTGCTGTTGTAATTTTAGAGGTTTTTTTAATACTGGTAGCCAGATTTTGTTCATTTTCATGGTTTCCTCCTTTCTGTTGAAATTGTCCACATACTTGTGGATTTCAAGGGCTTCTCTATCTAGCCTGACATGGTGGTTGTGAGAGTGGTCCAGCATTTCTGTGTTCTCAGATAATCTGCTGTGTCCAGGTTGGTTCCTCAGGTGCTCTGCTCTGGCTGACTTCTCTGGTTGAATGAGCCTGCAGTGCCTTTCATGTTCCTTGATTCGTGTTTGGGCAATGCTGCTGCGTTTGGTGGTTCTATGTAGACTTGTCCACAGTTGAAACATTCATACCTAGCTCCCACAGACAAGAGTTCTTTGTCCCACCCTGGTCTTTCCACAGATATATAAACCCCCTTTCCTAGTTCCAACAGACCTCACTACCTCTGAGGATGCCTGCCATAGATGCAGGCGAAACGTCAGGAGATAATGCCTCTAGACCATGGCCATATAGCCCGAAAAAACCTACAACAACCCACTATTTTTAGGATGTTTTAGAAAAGTTTGAGTTTTAAAAAATACATGAGTTTTCTCCTTGAATTTTTCTACAACGACATGACATAACCAGGGCATCCTTCTCTCCAAGTTTCAGAAAGATTTGTAGATATACTGATTTTTAGATAACTTTTAAAGTTTGGCCATAAATTATATTAAAAAAAACCAAAAAGGCACCTCCTGGAATTTTGCCACAGCAAGAGGTGAGGAGCAGGGCATAATTCCTGCCATCTTTCAGAAAGATTCACTCATCTGCTGAATTTTATGACATTTTTTCCCAATTTTCTCTCTCCTACTGAGAGGAGACATGCAATATATTGTCGAAGGCTTTCATGGCCGGAATAACTGGGTTATTGTAGGTTTTTTCGGGCTATATGGCCATGTTCTAGAGGCATTCTCTCCTGACCTTTCGCCTGCATCTATGGCAAGCATCCTCAGAGGTACTGAGGTCATGTTGTTGTTCATTCATTCAGTTGTCTCTGACTCTTCGTGACCTCATGGACCAGCCCATGCCAGAGCTCCCTGTCGGCCGTCACCACCCCCACCTCCTTCAAGGTCAGTCCAGTCACTTCAAGGATGAAAGTATGGATTCAACGCATCTCTTGAGACTTTCGGCCCTCTTACAATTTCTTGCACAGCCCTAATGGTTTTGCCAACTCCTTCTTACGAAATATTGTCCAACGTCCTTTTTATTTACTGGCAGTTGTCCTTTCAAGTATGAACCAGAGCTGGCCGTGCTCCACTTCCCAAATCAGACTGGGTTTGGTGCCTTTATAAATGGGACTTCGCTGTTGTGTGCCTTCCAAGTTGTTTCCAATTTAGTGGCAAACCTATCCTAGGTTTCCTTGACAAAAGATTCCCCTTTCCCCTCCTCTCAGAATATGACTTACCCAAATTGGGGTTCAGACGCTGGTCTTTGTAGTCAAGAATCCAATGCTCGAACCAGTACACGTGATGGAAGCTAGCACTAGTGACACAAGATGCTTTTGTGTCAGATGTGAAGGGGCTGCCCAACTTCTGCAGACTCTTTCATTCTCTACAATTCTCATTTTATTATGTTGCTGACATACAATCAATATTCTTGTTTCATTGTGAAGAACTGGCAGAAGTACCTCTAACATTTATTATCTCTTCTGGGATGGCATGAAATAGCAGGTGTTGACGTCCCTCTTGGGATGAGAGACCTCAAGATCTAGGTCAGGTCAAAAGCCATGTGGTGCTGTTGCTGCAGAATTGCCTACTGAGAGAAGGCGAGCTAATCAAACACCTGAACAAGTTTCCCAAAGATAGCGGGGCATCTTCAGTTGGTGAAAAGCCTTCATGTGATCACACACCATCCAGTTTGACCAGTGAGGAATGTTCGTGGTCTGTCGAAGATAGATGAACAAATCTACCTAAAGCTCTATGTTACGGAGAAAACTGTACTTGTTCATGAAACCAGAGTTGTGGGACATAGTGTTTTCTCCAGAACACAATCCTGGATTGCAGTGGGAGATACATAAAAGTTTTCTTTGTTTTGTGGCTATCAGCCATGTACTCCTTCACCTTTGACTCCTTGATCATGCACCAAGCCATCTATTTTAACCATTTAGCAGCACATGATCAAGGGTCTGGAGAACAAGCCCTATGAAGAGCGGCTTGAAGAGCTAGGCATTTTTAGCCTGAAGAAGAGAAGGTTGAGAGGAGACATGATAGCCATGTATAAATATGTGAGAGGAAGCCACAGGGAGGAGGGAGCAAGCTTGTTTTCTGCTTCCTTGGAGACTAGGATGCGGAACAATGGTTTCAAACTACAAGATTCCATCTGAACATGAGGAAGAACTTCCTGTGAGAGCCATTCAGCAGTGGAACTCTCTGCCCCGGAGTGTGGTGGAGGCTCCTTCTTTGGAGACTTTTAAACAGAGGCTAGATGGCCATCTGTCAGGGGTGATTTGAATGCAATATTCCTGCTTCTTGGCACAATGGGATTGGAGTGGATGGCCCATGAGGTCTCTTCCAACTCTAGGATTCTATGATTCAAAGCAAGGACATCTCCGGCCCATCGTCTTTTTGGATATCAGCCAGCAAGAAAATGCCTTAAATCAAGAAATAGCTTACTAAGATCTACAGAGATACTCACAGGGATACCTCAGCAAGCAAGAGGTCTCTTCCAACTCTTTGATTCTACATGACTTCCATTCAGTTTCTCAGCAAAAACTACTTAAGAGTGTGTGACGTTAAGTTACATAGTGTTGCTCAACGTTTGCAATTGGAAGGAGAACTTCAAAGTGTTCAAGTGTGAGGGAACCACTTACAACAGAGCTTGCAAATGTAGGTGGACATCTATGGATGTGGAAGGCCCATGAGAAAGAATTCAAGCAATTCTCCAGGAAATGCTTGCAGAGGTCTAACACTTCCTTATGAGCAGCTGTTTCGTATAATGTTGGGGTCCCCAAACTCTGGTCCTCCAGATGTTTTGGACTTCAGCTTCCAGAATTGTTAACCATTGACCAACCACTTGAGATTGTGATTCCTACAATTTTTGTTGACCAACTAGTTGATGTTCTGATTCCTACCACAATTCTAGGTGCTGAAATAACATGAGCTTCCAGAATTGTTAACCATTGACCAACTACTTGAGGTTGTGATTCCTACAATTCTTAACTGTTGACCAACTAGTTGATGTTCCGATTCCTACAATTCTAGGTGCTGAAATAACTTGAAAGCTTTGAAAATTGACATACAGGAAGGAGTCCTCTTT